CCCTCCTCTTTTTCTCTTCTCATAGCAAGCGATGTGTGCGCTTCTCTCGTCTCTGCTATCGGTTCCTCGTGTGCCTCTTTCTCCCCCCCTTGATCACTTTTTCTTTTCTCTTCTAACCGGTATTTATGTCTATACTATGATGTCGAGATGACTCCTGTGATTGGTTTGATTTCCCTGCTACCCCGACGATGTTTTGCCATCTGGACTGCATTGTACGAAATGAAATGGTTTGACGTTTTAGTGTGTGTTTGTTTTTGTTTTTATGTTGTTGTTTTTCCTTCCCCCGTGTCTTGACGTGTGATACGGCTCGATCAGTGGTTGATGATTCTACCACTGATCTCGTACCCATGCCGTCCATACCGAGACACGGGGTTCGTATGTGTTTGATGGTTATTTGATCTGCTGTTCCGACCTGACGCTTCTGTGTTTTCTTCTTTTTCTTTCTCTGGATTTCTGGCCGGAAACTTAGAGGGGGGTCCATCACTGGTAGCATCCTACAATTGAGGCGTGGCTGGCCTGTGGATCCGGGTCTACACACCATATATATCATTTGACTGTGTTTTCTTCCCACCCTTGCCTCTCCTCGTGGGCTGGACCGGGACTGGGGACAATCGGGTCGATTGTCTTTCCAGCCCACCCTTTTCCGTGGCGACGTAAAAGCGATTCTCGTGTACAATTATCACGCATGTCAGGTAGTCTATAGTGCAATCAACGGATTGTGTATACTTTATACTCTGGATTAACAATGATGGCCAGCCAGATACTAGTATTATCCTATCTACCTATATTGAAAATAAAGGCAAGTACTCTGTGAAAGACTACCTCATTATAATAAGCTTAAGCTTAAGCTTGATGCTCTGGCTTGGTTCAAGACCCTGCCACGCGTCGTTACGGTGATCCACCTTATACTTCGAGTACAGTGTAGCATACGGAGTATAGCACAGATGAAAGAGTAGAAATGACGTCACTTGCAAGATCTCCGAGATTTCAAACAGACAGACCCATACATATCTCGATGTCATGCAAGATGCCTCGCAAGTTCTACAGCGAGACCATCTCCTTGCTGCCGGGTATGCTGCGGCAGACTCGACTACGACGACTGCTAGGCCTTTAGGACGGCTCCAGTCCTAGTAGACGAAGCAGAAGAATGGCAGAAAGCCTGGGATAGACATGCAGCTCAGTCGAAACGAGGCCGGCTGCGTCCCTTGGCCATCCATCTGCCTGCTTTACATCTCTCGCGGGCATTCCGGCAACCAAAGGGATGGTATACCTTGTTTCGCATGAGTTGATTCCATATATATATATATATATATATACTGGGATACAGAATCTAACCTGAGTTGGGGAAGGAAGATGTATCAGCATTTCATCGACTTCAGAGGGTTGTGGCCCGGTGAGGAATTCATCATGTCGAAACCCAGCCTCAGACAGGATGGGATTTATCATTACCATCACCCGATTCCCGATCCCTTGTACGTTCCAGCCGTTGGCAAGGTGCTGCTCTATGTCACTCGGCCGAGGGTTTTGTCCGCACCGTCCGTCACGGCATATCTGTCGACCTGGTCTGCCATTCCGCTGGAGATTAGATATCTCATTGTGCAGTGGTTGCGAGTGAGGGACGTCCTAAACATGCTCCTCGCCTTTGGTGAGACCCTATCTTATTCTTATTGGTTGCGACGGTTGCCCACAGAGCTCCTGTTTGGAGAAATCCAGGATCTGGCGACCACGGCGCCAGACACCGTCGACTGGCCATATCTGGCGGTCTTGATCTTCGAACAAAGACGTGCTGGGGAAGTCTGCGGCGCTCTGGTTGAGAGCACGACTTCTCCCTCTCCTCAGGCAGGTGGTGCAGTCTGTTGATGAGCAGGAATAGAGGTCATATTGTGGGTGATGTTTAGGTGAGAAGGGAAGTCTGGCGCTTTGAACAGGAGCCGGAACTGGTAACGCCCCTCAACAGCGCTGGACAAAAGCACCTGATTATAATAACACTTTCATGCTCTCACTTTCCCCCCACAACTTCTTCCTCTTCTACTCCCTCGTAACACATGGCTTTGCTCATCAAACCATATCAATATCCCACACCACAGCTGTGATCTAGTACCCTATCTTTATGCTTTGACAGCATATCCTCCCCGCTCAAGAGCGAGAGGTTGGCACGGTAGGTACAAGGAATGAAGAAACCCCAAGGGCTTACAGGATAACAGTACAACGAACCTAGGATAGGAGTTCACCTCGCCATCAAGAAGATACGCACCGACGATGACGAAGCCGTCGTGACTAGGATCTGGCTGGGGATTTTACATCTTAGATTTTCAGAAAGTGGGTGATATGTGACCCGGGCTAGGCAGAAGTCTGGTGAGGGGTTCGCGGACCTCTTCACCCTTCATTCTCTTCTCCGCGGGGATATTTTCTTTGAACAGGACTTTATGATTGTTCAGTGCAAGAGAATGAGTTCCTAATACCAGGCTTCTGTCTGATGGCTTCCTCCAGCTGGAAAGCTACCTGGCGGGAAAACTGAAGCCAAAATATCCTACCACAAGATCTTTGGCGCTGTGGCAATGGGTCTCTGGGTGACGTTCGTGGAGTATATTCCAGGGAAGGCAGGAAAGAAAGAAGAGTCAGTCGTGTTGACCAACACAGGGAGACTGGAGATCTGCAGGAAAGGCAACTCCACATTTAACGAATGGTGATAAAGGTTCTGAATAGATTAAATCCCATCATTCGCCAGTCAGTCTTCACCAGTCAGTCTTCACCAGTCAGTCTTCACCAGTCAGTCTTCATCAGTCAGTCTTCACTAGTCAGTCTTCACTAGTCAGTCCTCGACTCGGTCAGCGGTGTTCGAAGGACAGCAAATTGGGTACACTATTCATATCTAAAAATACTCGGGTAGACAAAGACAGTAGATCAATTTTAGCTATAAAGACGTTCCTTTCTCCAGCAGAGCTATTATTAAAGTCTCGAGCCTTGACTGTAGAAGAAGAAGTAGTGATATTGTGCTTACTCATCCGCTTACTCATCATTTGTACTAGCGTCTTGGCATATCCTCGCTCTCCCTGGCCGTCACTTCATCGCCAACCGCCATCGCCATCGCCATCATCACCTCCTGCTTCCACCCATCCAGCGCTGCTCTCGGTCATCAGACTCGGGCATACGCTGTGCGGAAGTTGCTGTCGCATTCTACGCTTCTTTTTGTCTATCTATCTAGGCTTGTAGGTCGCCTTGCCTCACTTGTTCTCTCGCATTCAGCTCCCTCCCCCCCTTCCCCAATGCCCTCGTCTTTCAGCTGCCCCTGGATCACTGATCGCTTGCTCCCTCCTCTTAATTTCACTTCTTACTGTTCAATGGCTTCTCTCCTCGTCGCCTCGGGTGCTCTGAGAGCATGTTGGGGATGATGCCTCACGTTCGTCCTTGGGACTCGTGTCCGCTCTCCCGCCTCTTCGCTTCCTTTCTGCGAGAACCTTTCTTTTCTTCTTCTCTTATTTCTTCTCTTTTTAATTCTTCTTCTTCTTCTTCTTCTTCTTCTATTCCTTCTATCCGAACGCGCGTGCGGTTCGACTGGAATTAAGCTCGATTTTAATAGAGCTCCGGCTTATCATCACCTCTTTGCTCCTCCTCCCTGCCCATCTTGTCGTTGATCCAATACTTATTCAGAAAGTCCTGCTCTAACATTGGCCATGTCCACTCTTAGCTTTTTCTTCTTTGGAACGAATACCGACCATCGCCTTTGTTCTTCCTCGATTTTCTTTGATCAATCCCCCCCTTTTTCTATCGATTGACAACCCCCTACCGGGCCTTGGCACCGAGTGTGTCTACGTGCAACTCAAGCAGCTTTTGTGATGGATTCTTACGACGGCTACGTGTCTCCTGGCCGGAGTCGCGAGGCTGAATACCGGCGAAGATCTCCAGGTAAGCACGGGATGATGGCGTAATTGTTTTTTTTTTCAACTAGCTCACCCATTCTAGCCTCGCAGGATCGTCGCCGTGGCCGGGGTCGTTCCCGGTCGCCCGTCATGATCGATCGCTACGAACCGTCCGATCGGCGTGCCTCCCGTGACGAATACTACGCTACCCCGCGCGAACATGTCCCTCAGCGGAATCGCGGAGAACGCGAAGAACGCGAAGACCGCCGTCGCGCCCCGTCACCTACCGCCGCCAACATCGACCGCTACGTGCCCGGGCAGGACTCAGGCAAGCGACCCATTCCGACAAACCCCCTCCCCAACCCCCTGGGCCTTGACTTCCAGGTCGGCTTCAACTGGTTTGCCGAGTGGTGGCGGACGGAGCAGAGCATCAAAGAGGAGAAGGAGCGTGCTAAGCATGGCGGGCGCCGGCCCTCGGACCGCGTCAAGGGAGAGCGCGAGGCGCGCGAGGATCGCGACCGTGAGCGCGCCCAAATCCAAGCGGCCTATGACTCGTATAAGGTCGAGCTACAGGTCAAGATGGCCCGCACGTTTGTGCAGCAGCACCGCAACGAGGAGTGGTTCAAGGAGCGCTACGTCCCCGAGGTCCGTGATGCGCTGCGCAGGCGCGTGATGGACTTCCGCCAGAGCGCATACCAACAATGGGAACGCGATCTCGAGGCAGGCCTCTTCGACGACTTCACCCTCGAGGGTATCTACAAGAGCGAGAGCGATGGCGCCGGTGGCGTCATCGAAAAGGAAGAGGGCGAGACCACCGCTGTGGGCGAGACTCTGAGCGTGCTCGATCTGCTCCCCGCGCGCGGTGGCGAGCTGCGTGACGAAGCTTCGTCGCAGCCCGCTCTGCTCATCAAGACCCTAGCCCCCAACGTGAGCCGCGAGAAGATTGAGGAATTCTGTAAGGAGCATCTGGGCGAACAGGATGGCGGTCTACGCTGGCTCAGTCTCAGCGATCCTAACCCCTCGAAAAAATATCATCGCATGGGTTGGATCATGCTGCACCCCACCACCGGGACGACGATGGTAGAACGTGGCGATGGCCGCGAGGAAGAAGGGGAAGAGATGGAGGTGGTGGAGGAGCTGTCCACCGCGGCCGCAGCTGAAAAGGCGCTCGAGGCCGTCAACGACAAGACGATCCACGACCCTGTCCACGGTGACTTTGTGTGCCACGTCGGTGTCCATGTCCCTCCGTCCAACCCGCGCAAGAAGGCCCTGTGGGATCTGTTCTCCGCCCCGGAGCGCGTCGAGCGCGATCTGGAACTGGCCAGGCGCTTGGTGTCCCGGTTGGACGCGGAGATGGGTGACGGCGCCGACGGCGCCATACGGATCGAAGAGCGCGTGGAGGAGCTCCGCAGCAAGGGATGGTTGCAACCCCCAGTCACGGGCCCTGTGCGCGTCAAGAAGCGTCGCTCCTCCGAATACGCCGACAATGATGACGTTGAGTTGGATGAGAACGGCATGGAGGCCGGTGAAGAAGCAGAGGAGGGTGAGGCCGCTGACGGCTGGGAGGAAGACGAAGTTGACGATGAAGAATTACTGGCCCAGAAGAAGCTGCTGGACCTTATGGTCGAGTATCTGCGGCGGGTGTATAACTTCTGTTTCTTCTGCGTCTTTGAGAGCGACTCGGTGCATGAGTTGGTGAGAAAATGCCCAGGGGGTCATCTGCGCCGGCCTCGTTCGGGCCTGACCAGCCAGGCGAAAGAGGTTGCACGCGCGAGCGCTCTGGGCCAACCTTTCCCGTCCGCCAAGAAGAAGGAACCGAGCGAGGATGGCGAAGAGCCTAGCAGCGCCTCGCCTGTTGAGGAGCGACGTCCGGCGCGCTTTGCGCCCAAGTCGGAGCAACAGCTGCTGAGGGCGTTCAACTGGGTCCGCACCTTTGAAGACAAGCTGCTGCAAATCCTGGAACCGGAAAACGTCGACATCCGCCGACTGGGCGGCAAGCCTGTCGAAGAAGCCCTCGAGGAGGAGCTTGCCCGCTTCTTCAAACAGGAGGACGAGTCAAAGTTCCGCTGCAAGGTCCCCGAGTGCACTAAATTGTTCAAGGCCGAACATTTCTGGCGCAAGCACGTCGAGAAACGCCATACGGAGTGGTATGAACGGATCAGAGATGACGTATGTCTGCCTTTCTCCTTTTTCTCCCCCCCCCCCCCCCTGTGGAGTACACTGACAATCTGCAGCTCTTCCTGGTAAATTCCTACGTGTTGGATCCCGCCCGCATCGCCCCCTCGCGCTCGGATGCCAATAGTAACGGCCACTTCCCGATGACCTCGGGACCAAACCACAGCGGCACTCCGCGCGGCTTCAGCTTAGCGAACATGGCCTATTTTGGCCACAACGGCGCTGTCCCTGGCAGCTTCCAGAACCTCGCCGCCCCGGGTGGTCTTCCTTTTATGGGCGCCGGCCAGACCGGCTCGTGGAACAGCAACGGACAGCTCGTCACCGGCGAGTCCGGGTTGCACCAGCCAGGAGTGATGCGCCGTGGTGGCGGTCGACACGGGAACCGGAGCGGCCCCTACGACCGGCGTGGAGGGAACCGCTACGGCTCGAATACCGGAGGTGTAGGCGGCGGCCGTCTGAGTCCCGTGCGCATGGGTCGTTTCCCGCCTGCCGGCGGAGCAGCATACAATATTCCCCCCGGCCACCCGGCTGCAGCGATGATGGGAGCCGGCGGTGGGCCTGTTGGGGGACCTGGAATTGGCGGGGGGCTCTTCCCGGACGCGATGGGCCCCGGAGGCGCGCAGCAGGGGATGGGTCCCCGGGAGGCGGTGCAAGGACGCAGCCTGAAAAGTTACGAGGATCTGGATGCTGTCGGTGGCGGGGGGAGCGGCGAGCTGAATTATTAGTTTACTTGCTCTCTCTCTCTCTCTCTCTCTCTCTATGGGTAACTTGGGGCAGTCTTCTGTACAACTAGCTAGCAAAATCAAATCAAATGTATTGAATCGGTCTTTGTTCGTAGTATCAAGCACTCTCATACTCTATATATAAAGCTACATCTGAATCACAGTGTCATTCCCTCCATCCCTCCACTGCGCTCCCATCCCCCGGATCCGCCGTTCACTCGCCAGAAAGAGCAAGAGGTAGATGTGGACGGCGGTCTCGCCCCATGCATAGACTTTGAGCAGCATTTTCATCTCTGCATTGTCTGTTGCCTCTGGCTCGGAGCGTTCCAGGATACACCAGACCCCCCAGCCGGCGCGTCCATCGCGGGCGATGAAGTCCCGGAGAAAGGTCCAGAAGCGGGAGATAAAGGGCCTGTCCCACATTGACGGCGAAGGGGGTTCCTCCTGCTGACCACGCGGAATCTCGATGTCTATCAGCCAGTGTCCCCGTTCGAGAGGGTCGAGCGGTCTTGTCTGCCAGACGGGTTTGTAGGAGCGCTGCGGGTTAAGGCGAGCGGCAAGCATGGCGAGGGTAGGAGTGATGTGCGTGACGAACGGGTCTCCGGAGGCGGGTGGTGGAGGCGGATGGATTTGTAGTGGGAGCTGCGAGAGCGATATTCCCGCTGTATCGACAGCCTGGATGGCACGACCGGTATTGTTCTTTGTCGATGATGGCTGCGGGACGGCTTTCTTGAGAGCTCCTCCTCCTCCTTCTCCTTCTTCAGGCGAACAGGCCCGTTTCGCTGGCGATACGACACGCTGCCGCTTCGCCGACGACTCTAGAGGCAGTACCACCTCTTCAGGTGGATGCTCTCCCTCCGTTCCAGACAGAGCTGGCTGTGAATCTGGAATCACACTAAGCGGAGTACCGAAATCGTCGCCGGCTGGCTCGTTGCCAGCCTGGCTCGAGTCCTTCGAGCTTCTCGAGCTAGATCTCAGCTCATCCTCTGTCACCACTATGACACTGTGTCGGGCAGCCACCTGGAACCCTAGGATCGCCTCGACCTCAGCACGATATCTCGCATCGTCCCTGGCACCACTGGGGGCCGAGACGTGAACGAGGATCTCAGTGCGGTCGGCCATAAAAAAACACGCTTTCCAGCCTCATGTTGAAGCCTGCAATCACCGTGGATTCATTCAATAGTTATGTAGCTACCATGCTCTGTGCGGTGGTCGCTATTGTCGTGTTGCTTGTCGAGGTTGTCGTCCAGGGGAAATCGAAGCGGGGGAAGAAGAAAAAAAAGAAAAGACCCCGTGACTGCCCGATTCGGACGCGTACCAAAGCTCCCGGTCGGAGAGGCCCCTTATCCTCCCTTCAGTCCAGTCGACATTGCCTCTTTGTCTCGAGGCCAGATGGCTTTACGGAATTGTTTCGGTATGGAGGGATGGAATGTCGCTCGACAGAAGGCGCAGAAGCGTCAGAAACACCTCCAGGTGAGCGCTCCACTGGTGACTGCAATTCGCCCCTGACAGTCACTGTCGGACAGGACTAGATAATAGCGTGACATGCAGCCAGGGTACGGGGTAGTGAGCACAAGACATGGAGACAGTTCTGCCGTGCAGGACAAAGGTCCTCGTTACTCCGTACTTTATACTACAGAGGACTCGGCTGCCCGTTGATCGAGTGCCTTGCTACGACGGGGTGAGTCGTCGACTGGCATCACGCTCGCACTACCTACGGGTGCTCACGAGTGGATATATATGCTGTTGATGACAGAGGACGGACTGCTGGGCAATACAAAGAGACAACGGTCGACAGCCTGGTCCTATTCTCAGGTTGCACAACTTCGCCGTGCGTCCAGGGGATCCTGGGCTGCTGCACGAGAACGGAGCACCGAAGAATCCATCTTGACGACATGTGAAACCTGAGAGAGAGAGAGAGAGAGACGTCTTGAGGATGTAGAAGCTGGACGAGTCGCCCAAGACGGATCAGACATCATTATTGGACAGCGGGGTGGTCTTCTCATTTTCGAGGCGATCGATCGCCTGCGGCCTCGTCGGCGGATCCGATTCGTCTTCCAAACGGTTGGATGCACCCTCTCGTGTGCGCGGTGGGCGTACCTTTTTTCGACAAGTCTCACAGACCGCGTACGATGAATCGAGGAGGATCTTCTGTCAATCTCTCTTGATTGGTGGCCGCTGCGAATTGACCAGCCAGATCAAAACCACCCGGGAGGCTGTCGGCCTGTCAGTAGCAACAAGCCAGCGGTGCGCTACCCACTGGAGCCTGTGACAGGGCACTGATATAACGCTAAACTCTCGCCTGCTAGGAACAACCCACTTGTGATGCTCCTCGCCTTCTGCTCCTCCTGCGCCGAGTCATCGCTTTCCACAAGGCATTGTCTACGCAGGCCACCTTTATTCTTCTTCGAGTCAATCGACATTGACGGTGCCTGACATCCTGTCTATCGCATGGGCTTTGCCGTCCAACGTGGTTGTTGAAACGTCACTCCTGGGCTGAACTGGGGCCAACCGGTAAGCCGCTGCCGCAACAAAACCCACTCCGGGCTAGAGCTAACCTTCTGCCTTGCTCTCCCCAGGACTTAAGATTAAAGACAGCCAATTTCCAACGGCCGAGATCTCTGCGATTTCATTTCTCTTCTCACCCTTTTTTTTTTTTTTTTTTTTTTTTTAATGTAGCATCGGCCTTGCGGACGCAGCTCGCTTCGTTGCCCATTCACCTCGATCGCTTACCCGACCCTCGCGCCGGTCGCAGTGCCTTTCCACCTCCAAAAGAATAATCATAATAACAGCTTCTACGTGATGGAACAAGGAGGGTCAAACAGAGCGAATCTGCAGCCGCCAGGCTTACAGAGTGAGTGTATTTTGAACTGAGGCATTCCAGTCTCGATGCTCTGCGTCGCCGTCATCATATCTATGCAGTACAGTGCATATACTCTCAAGCTGATGACAGGAGCTGAGGCCCCAAAATCTCCGTGGCATTTTTCCCACTCGCCCTTGATTATTGGTTCTCTTTTTGCATCAATCCTGCGCTGACTTCTTCCGCACCATTACGTCTTTCTCGCGGAGGGGCTGTAGCCCAACCGGAGAAGACAGGTGCGATTTGTGATTCCAGGTCAACAATCGCATGCCAGTCTGCGAAATGCGTTTAATTCCGATTTCTTCAAAGTCTTTTCTGGAGGGCAAAAGAAAACAACAAGAGGTCTGTCACTGGGCAAGAACGTCCTTCCCCCTCCCCCCCTATCTGGACTTTTGCTGATTGACCTTCCAGATGGTCAGCCCGCAAAACGACGTGGCCCAAAGCCGGATATGAAGCCGGCGATGACCAGGCGCCAGGAGTTGAATCGCCAGGCCCAGAGGTAACAGCCCCGGTATTGGTCCTACCCCCTTCGAATACGCTGGTGACCGTTATTATCCAGGACACACCGTGAACGTAAAGAGCAATATATTCGATCTCTGGAAACCGAAGTATCACGGTTGCGCGAAGCTTACAGCGGAGAGATGACCACGACAAACGCATCGCTGCAGCAGAACCGAGAACTTGTTCAGTCCCTCAAAAACGAAAATGATATTTTGAAAGAGATCTTAATGAGCCACGGCATTCAGTTCGAAGCGGAACTGGAGCGCCGGAGAGCGGAACGGCAGGTGACTGCATATCAACCGGCTTCGTTCGCGGGGAGCAGTAATGGCACCCCGACTGGGCCCCCATCCACAAGCAATTTCTACACAACCCCGTCTACGACGGCTCCCTCGAGCTTGAGCCCTCACGGATCAGCCACCGAACGAGTGGTCGTGTCACCAGAGGAGCCATCAATGCAGTCACAAGCTGTCCACTCGCATGCAGCAGACCCCTCCATGGAGCTGGATTACTCCGGTCCAGTGAAAAGCAACGGTCCTGTTCCAGCGGTCTCGGGGATCTTCGAAACGGACCCTCAACTTCAGGTGGACTTTATCTTAACGTATGTTATCATTTCCCGCTTCCTTCTGCAGCCTGATGCGTTTGAATCTCTGGACTTAACCCTGTGTGTATAGACTGGAGTCCCCCTGTCGAGTCCACACCGAGTACCTCTGCCGCCGTTCGATCACTGAGGCGGAAGACGAAAACATGCCCTTTTCCGGCCATGCTCTGATGGCAACCTGTCCTCCACCAACCTACATTGCCAACACCACGGCAGAGCAGCAGTATCCGCACCAAACATACGATCTACCCGTTGCCAATCTATCTACGTTGCTCAATCTCAGCCGGCAATTAGTGACGGAGGGTCAAGTGACGCCCATCATGGCGCTACAGTGTTTGAAGAACCACGAGCTATATCGCACCTTGACGCGGGACGATGTCAAGATCATCATGGAGACCCTGAACACCAAGATCCGTTGCTACGGGTTCGGCGCCGTGGTGGAAGACTTTGAGCTAATGGACTGTCTGAACAGTGTCCTAGGGACGAGGGTTGAGGCGGGCTTTTCTCAATCCCGAGATGACATCTTGTATTCTTGACGAGAGAAAAAAAAAAAAAGACCTTCCCCCAATAATCCTCTCTTCTCTTCTTCTTATACTTTTATTATCAGATGTTCGGTGTATATACTTATCCTATCCTCTTAAGGCAAGAAGTAATCTTAAGTATGAGAGCAATTGCAACCATCCAGTGAATCAATATTCCCTCGTAACATCATTAGTCAATGTCAGGTGCAGTTTAAGTTGCCTGCGATTGAATATTTTTATTTTCTATTCGGCTTCAAGAATATAATTACGGCTTGACAGCAGCACACGATTCAAGATAATTTCATCATTCTAAGACTTTTTCAAAACTATGCACGTCATAGACAGAAAGAAAAAAGAAAAACAAATCATGACATTATGCAGGGGAATCCAGGAGATGAGGAATATCGGGGGTTTACTCCTCCTCGGCATCCTCCTTGTCCTCATCCTTGTCGCCGGCGGCCAGGTCGTCCTCCTCATCGTCCTCGAAGGTGTTGGCGGGGACGCTGTAGAGACGGAGAACGGAGCGGTTGGGATCCTTGACGAGAACGTACTTGCGGACCTTGTCCTGGGCGGCGTCTTCCTCGGCGTCAGCCTCGGCGGGGAGGGTGCGGATGCGGTCGACGATGGTACGGACAATACCCCAGCCGTTACCGAGGTTGAGGTTCATCTGGGCGGCGAACTCGCGGGGCTTGTAGCCGACAACGCCGAGGACGACGTGGTTGGCGGCGGAGCGCGGGTTGGCGCGCGAGACGAAGCCGAGCTTCATGGCGTCGGCCTTGGCGAGGATGGCCTGGGTGGTCCAGCGGGCAAGCTTGCAGCTGTTGTTCTTCATCTCGGTGGCGACGACGGCACCACGCTGCGAGACGAGCTTGCTGCGCCAGTCGAGGGCGCCGCCGGAGCCCTGGGCCTTGCTGTCGAACTCGTTGAGCGCCTTGACGATGATCTGCTGGTCGGGCCCGCCGGTCGGGTTCTTGAGCGAGGCGTCGATCTCGGTCCGCACGACAATGTGCACCGGCTCCTCGTCACGCTCCAGAGACAGGTCGAACCGGCGGTACTTGTAGGCCTTGGACGCGAGGGCCTCGGTCTCCTCACTGGCGTTGTAGAAGGGGTTGGGGTTGCTCTGCTCCACCTTGGCCTCGTTCGACTCAATGACGGTCTGCAGAGCAAAGTTGTGGTTGATGAAGGTGGCTTCCATGGCCAGCGCGCTGGGGGTGTTGATGGAATCCTGCTTGTTGCCGGACTCGGACGCCTCGAGCGGCGCATCGGCGGCGTTCTCGTTGACGGTCACCAGGTCGAGGGAAGCACCCTCGCGCTTATCGAAGAAAATCTTGTTGCCCTGGTGGACGATGACAATATCCCACGAGTACACACTGCGGGGAGCACACATGAGCATCGACAGGATATCCGCGGTGGCGAAAATCGTCGCCTCGTTCTTCTCGGCGAGCTCCTGGATCACAGGATCCTGAGAGGTGGTGACATTGTACGCAGCGCGCTCCAGAGCCTGGAGGCGGCGCTCGGCACCCTTGACAGGGGCCTTGTCGTAGGAGCGGTCGTAGTAGTAGGTGAAACCGTACGAGTCGACGTCCTCGCCCTCGGGGGCCTCCAGGTTAAGCTTGGACAGCCGGCTGAAGTCAACCTCCTCCAGCATGTTCCAGTCGGGGCGGATGTTGACTGACGGTTCCCGGGTTCTCTGGGGCTTATCATAGTCCTTCCATCCGAAACGGCGGCCGCGGTTGCTGCGAGCACCCCGGTTGTCGTAGTAGCGGTCGTTGGTCTGGCCACGGCCCGCACCTCCGACTCTCTGGAAGCCAGCCCGACCACCTCTCTGGCCAGCACCACCGCGCTGAGCGCGACCGCGGAAGACAGTGCCACCACCACGGCCAAAGGTCCGCTTGGCGGAAGAACGGGTGTTGTCGACAACGGAGAAAGACGACTCGTCTTCGGCAGCCTGGATGGCGAACAGGCTAGACGCGCCGGCACCGTAGACCTGCTGGTCTGTTGGGAAAGCATCCGAGTTAGAAACTTCCTCCTCCTCAACCGAGCGACAAGAAAAAGCACAGACACATACCTCTGAAGTTCCGGTTGTAGCCCTGTCTGCCTTGCCTGTCACGGTCCTTGGACTCGGCAGTCCAGTCGGCCATGCGGCCAAGCTTGTCGCCCTTGGAGAAGGGAGCGAAAGGAACGCCCTGGAGCATATTGTTCGAGGACGTGGCGGGGCCCCAGGTGTCCTCCGCTGGGAGGGCGGCCACGATGTCTGCAATGGAAATGGGCGCCATCTTGCCGGACTGACGGTGAGTCTATCTGACGGAAACTGCGTGGCCACACAAAAAATAAAATAAAACTCGCGCGTGGGAGCACCTGCTACGGGATTCGCTGGCGGGCAAGAGATATCGAATCTTCGTGATGTGGGAAAGTTTTGTGTCGCGAGCGTTGTGGCGGTGCGGATTTCTTGGCTGTCACTAGCCACAACTGGCCTTGCCCGTTTGGTTGCACCGCCACATGTTATTACTTTGAGCATCACTTATCAGAGATACATTCGCAGCTACCTTTCGGCTTTCTTTGGTTGACGTCTACTACGGATCTTCCATGGATGTTTCAGCTCGAAAAGAGTTTTGAGGGTGAATGAAGCTGCGATGGCTACTCGCTATTCATCCTGTTCCTGACCCTTGCCTGCTCTCTGTCTACTCTGTAGCCTTACTGATTCGTCTAGATGCGTCGGCCACCATGGATAAAGGTCTTAGCGGTCCATGATCACTGAATGTGTATGAATAACGGTGTCTGGAACTGTGATAGTTTGCAGCCGCATCTCCTATGGCATCTCCTATACCGATCATCTCAACCTCGGATCTTGATGTCTCTACTGAAGAGGCAGCAATACTTTCTCTACAAAGGCGATCAGGGATCGAGAAATACAAATGGAATGGCCCAGAATAAGTACATGAACTTGTACTTGACGTCTAAATATACTATGTGTTCATTGGTGCATCTTTCCATGACATACGGGTTCATTCTACTCTCTGAAGTTTGCCGATCGAATATGCGTTTGAATAATGACCATCAAGAGAGTGTCCCATATACTTCTAGAATACTCAGAAGCGGAAGATAATAGAATCAACGATTTCTTGAAAGGAACTGAATTCCTTGAAGTCCCTATTTAGAAATTAGTCATAATTGATCTCCGGTGACAGATGTTGATACGAGTTTCTACCCCTCACGCCAAAGACTCCTCCCTCTTCCCCTCCACTTCAAGATGGCCAGCACAGAGAAGAACGCAGAGCTCATCGAGCTGTCCCGTAAGCTGGATCATATTCCAAAATGCGAGGAATATGAGAAAATGATCTCCGGAATGCTGTACGTTAAATAGTATGAGGAGAGTACCTAGCTAACTGGAGTCTTTTCGCAGGTACAACCCTCTCATCCCTGAGCTGGTCGAAGCCCGCCATCGCGCACGCGGCACATGTGCAGACTACAACGCCGTCGACACGAAGAAAGTCTCGTACGAGGAGATTGGCGACGTGCGGGCAGACCTGCTGAAGAAGGTTGTGGGCAAAGCCGGCACCAACACGTTTATCGAGCCGCCGTTTACAGCGGATTACGGGTGCAACATCATCATCGGGGATGACTGTTTTATCAACTTCAAGTGGGAAGCTTCCTTTACTATTGCCAGCAGTTGAGAGAGCAGGGTATTAATAAGATATACAGTATGACGGTTCTCGACGTCAGCCTTGTGATCATCGGGGATCGAGTGCAATTCGGCCCAAACGTGAACATCTACACGGCCGGCCATGAAACAAGCGTCCTGTCGCGGCGCAAGTTCGTCGAGTTCGGCCACTCGGTTCGCATCGAGGATGACTGCTGGATCGGGGGGAATGTCATCATCTTGCCCGGTGTCACGATCGGGCAGGGTTCGACGGTGGGTGCGGGCTCAATCGTTACCAAGGACATCCCGCCCTTCTCGGTGGCGGTGGGGAGTCCCTGTCGAGTTATCAAGACGGTGCCCTCGGCAGAGGAGGAGGAGAGGGATCCGAATAATCCGTATAGAGCTTTGAAGCGGTCGTTTTGATAAACATTAACTTAACATGAAGAGAGTTTATATAGAAGTCTGGTAGAAGTCTGTAAAAGTCTGGCAGACTCTGGTATTATATTGCGTCATGCTGATATGAGCGTATAGGGTACCATTAGATACCATAGGTAGATGCCTATTCCATAACTTTACAAATCGTGTCTACAAGGTAGTCATGATGTCGTCGTGTCCTATCCTGCCCTCAAAATCCAAGAGGAGAAAAGACCAGGAGAAAGCCGGCGACGGCTTGAGTCGAAGTATCTCCAGGAGAGAGAGCACTACGTCTCGGATCCTCAAGGAAGGCGTCTACATCCCCCTCCCCACGTTCTTCTTCAAGGACACCGAGAACCTGGACGAGCTGACCATCTCGCGCCATGCTGTGCGTATGGCCCGGGCCCGGGTGACGGGTCTGATTGTCAACGACCTGATGTACGGCGAGGGAGCCCATCTCTCTCGCGACGACCGCGGTATCGTCACTCGCACGGTGCGCCACGCGATCGTCCGCGCAGGATTCTTACAGATCCCCATCATCGTCAGCTGCGGCGCCCCCTCCGCCAGAGAGACCATCGAGCTGTGCCACGACGCTCACGCCTCGGGAGGCAGCTATGCGTTGGTCGGGGCCCCCGCCATATACAAGCACTACTACGACACACGGTGCATTGCTGCCTTCTTCGTCGACGTGGCGAACTCCTCGCCACTCCCGATCCTCGTCGACACCCGGCCGCAGGACGACGTCGTCGTCCGCGGGACAGTCGGTGGTGATGCCAGCGCCCTCGCAACGGACGAGTTGATCCATCTCGTCACGGGCCATCCCAACATCGCCGGCTGCCGACTCTCCCGAACGGAGATGGCGAGAGCCACCCGCATGGCACAGGCCACGACGACTGCCGGCCTCGCGTGTCTGGGCGAGTCGGCAGGGTCCACCCTGCAGACTCTCATCGGAGGCTGTGGCGGCGTGGTGGCGGGAATGGGCAACCTGGCGCCCAGGACGTGTGTGAGGCTGATCGAGCTGTACCACCGGGGGAAAGAGGAGGAGGCAAGAAAATTGCAGGCGGTCGTCGCTCGTGCTGAGGAGACCGAGGCGGCTTTTGGAATTGCCGGGATGAAGAGCAACCTGCAGCGCCATCTCTCCTACGGCGGCTTGCCCCGCCGACCCCTGGCATTTGTCGACGGCGGCAGTCCAGGTGTGGAGGAGATGATGGCTGTCGAAAATTGTCTCGTTCTCTAGATGCTACAATGCTCTCTTGCAGGTCACGGTGGAGTCTGGTCTTAACCAGCTGCATCAACTGCATCAACTGCATCGACTGCATCGACTGCATCGTTCCTGCATCTCCACCCTCCATACGAAACCTTAGCAAGACTCTTAGCCTCAGGAATAAATCAACGTAAAAATCGCCGATACGAACTGGTGTCTTGGAGGGTGGAGTTTGTCCACTCGTCCGGGCGAGTACCTTGAGGGCCCTGTAGAGGAAAATTTTCCTGAAAACCCGAGGCCATAGCAGAATAAGTACGGAAAATATCGAAATACCGATCTCTCTGATAGCAATCATCATGCAGATGGAAGCGATAGGCTTCAAGAGATGCTAGATCGGAGATCCTGATAATAAACAGTGCCAGGTAAGACCACCGATTGTCTCTCGGCGCCGTCCGGACGTGGATCCGGTCAGTCTCTCTCTTCCGCCTTCAAGCTCGACTTCCCCTCTGGAGCAAACCTCTCCTTTCTCTCTCTCTCTCTCTCTCTCTCCTTTATTCAGGATATGACCTTTTACTTTTGAACGAGAATTGTCAATCACTCTTTTTGATCTGTTTCCCTTTTCTTATTATTTCTGATTTGACGGATTCCCGTCTATCGGCGGTTCGGTCTCCAAGGCGTTGGATCTTATCAAAGGGGTGATTCGCGCGCGCGCCTGGCGCGTTGTAGAGCTTGAACAATGGGTTTATCGAAGACAAACAGGATTATTATCCTGCTGGTTATTGATTCGGTGTTCTTCCTGCTGGAACTGATTACTGGTGAGTGGGTTTATAGTTGGCGAGAGATGGTGATCTGTTCTCTGATGTCATCGATTCTAGGATATGCCGTGCACTCGCTCGCTCTGGTGGCAGATTCGTTCCACATGGTATGTCAACAGATATTATTCGTCTCGTACATGATTGATGGATCGGATGGGTCTGGCTGACCAGGTGGTTCTAGTTGAATGATGTGTTGTCGTTGTGCGTCGGACTGTGGGCTGTGAAGGTCGCCAACCGGGAGACAGAGTCGAAGATGTTCACCTACGGGGTAAGACTACTTGCCAGGGATTCCTTCTTTATATCTGTCACGCGCTGATAAGGGTATATTTGTATAGTGGCAACGTGCGGAGACCCTTGGTGCTCTCGTCAACGGTGTGTTCCTGGTCGCTCTGTGTCTGTCGATTTTCTTGGAGGCGATACAGAGATTGGTGGAACCGCAGGAGGTCAAGAACCCCCAGCTGGTCTGCGTCGTCGGCTGTTTCGGTCTTTTATCCAATATAGTTGGGCTGGTGTTGTTCCACGACCACTCGCACGGTCATGCTCACGCTCATGGCCATGATCACGGCCCCCATGGCGTGGATGCCGAGGAACAAGGCGTCTCCGACCATCAGAGCAACCCGCTCGTGGCCGACGAGACGGGCACAGCTGCGAGTGTCATGCCCGAGAATCTTGTCGGCCAGTCAGCTCCAGTCGGCCATTCTGATCCTGGCTCTCCCTTCTCTCGCAAGCGCCGCTCGACGCGTAGCTCTCGGCGCCTGAGTGCGTCGGCCGGCCGCGGATTCGGTAAGGTCGAAGATATCCACGTCCATCCGGCCACTCTGAGGAACGACATCATTGCTGCGAGCCGATTCCAGTCCACAGATTCCCCCTCCGAGTCCGAGTCCGAGCTTCAGGAAGATGGTCCCCCCTCGGAACAGTCCCGGCTGCTGGGCCACGCGGCCCGTGGCTCCAGCTATACCGAAGAGAACGGCGGTCCCCCCCCGAAGCAGGACGACGACGTGCACAAACTGCACAACCACGCCCAACCAAAGCCCGCCGAGAAGAAGGGTCACAACCACGACCTCAACATGCGCGGCGTCTTCCTTCACGTCATGGGCGACGCCCTCGGCAACGTCGGTGTCATCGCCTCCGCCCTGATCATCTGGCTCACCGATTACTCCTGGAGATTCTACGTCGATCCGGGAATTTCCCTGGTCATCACCATCATCATCCTCTGCTCCGCGATCCCCTTGTGTAAGGCGGCGTCACGGATCCTGCTGCAGGCCGTGCCCCCCGGCCTGAGCATCGACCACATCAAGGAGGACATCGAACAGCTCCCCGGCGTGATCGGCTCCCACCATCTGCACGTGTGGCAGTTGAGCGACACCAAGATTGTCGCTTCGATCCACATCCAGGTCGACACCCAGATCAAGGGCGAGGGCTCCGAGCGATACATGGATCTGGCCAGACAGGTCCGCAGCTGTCTGCACGCCTACGGGATCCACTCGTCCACCATCCAGCCCGAGTTCGCTCCAGACAGCGACACAGAGGACAACACCCAGGTTCAAGCCTCCTCGTCCTCCCAGAACGGCGAGTCCTCGTCCACCAAGATGCCCAGCCGGGCCGCGAGTGTCCAAGGTGACCGCCGGGCGTGCCTCTTGGAATGCGGCGACGGCTGTGCGCGAGGTGGACAATGCTGCCCGACAACCTCGAACAACCACCCCTGATCCTACAATCACACCGAAAAGTTTCCTTTCCTTTTCGTTTATCTTTCCCAATCTATCTTTTCCGCCAGTCATTCTTAATTACTACCTTTTTCTTCCGTCCTTCTTCACATTCGACACTTGTCCATACCCATTGTGCTTTTAATCCCCCAGAAGGGGACTTGCGTCTCCCGATCATCCCCGTTGAACAGAGCTTTTCAACAGCTGATCGTCTGTAGAGGGGGCCTATTCTTGTGTGGATTTGGAAGGGCCTCAACCTCCGATTGTACTGGCTCTCCGTGAATTTGTGACTTCCTTGCCCTTGTTACTAGATGTAAATAGCCTTCTATACCTACCAGCCATAACTAAAATCCTAATCAGCCATTCCTATCCGTATCGACGTCCATGGAACCTCATATTTCAAGCTTGGGTTGGTCAATGAATTCAGGGCTCGGCACGTGACTGGGCCCAGACTCTCGCCTCCAGCCAAGAACAACAGCACAGCGACCTGCAAGCCGGGGGAACTGAACCCTTGCCATGGCCTAAATATAATGTTATTTTAACTTCTACTTCATTCATTCTATCATTTTTTTTAAAAAAATTTCCTTTTGCTCTTTCTTATCATCTGTCTCCAGTTCAAGACCATGACAACCCCCTTCATCGCCACAACACCACCGTTGATAAATTGACCGACCGACCAAACAAACCTACTTCTACTGCATACTACCAGTCCCTACCTGTCCTCTCGCCATCGTCCCCTCTTGGCATCTACAAGCGATGCGGTATTTTGTCCATCTCGTCCAGCAATTATGAGCTACAGCTACCCCTCTGCGCGAGGGACTCGGTCCTTCAACCCTGTCGCCGTCCTCGAGCGGGTGCGCGACTCCCTCCCGGCAAAGGCGAGAGAATGGATCGTCGGCCTGCGGGCACGAAGCGGTCACGACCTGCACACGTCAGCGTGGAGAGCTGCGCGACGGCTAATCTGTGTGACGAACGGATTGATCTTACTCTGGATTCTGACGCTGTGGTGGGGAGAACGGACGGTGTTCCGGGACGGAGTCGAGGCGTGTCAGTGGGGGAATTGGGAGAAGTGGGTGAGTTTGGACGCACAATTCATAGAATAAAAGGGGTCTTGCCTTTTTTAAAAAAAAGAAAAAAAAAAAAAAGGAAAAAGGAATGTCTGCTGATTGTACCAGCCACAAGGAGCGACGCCGCATCACGTTGCGTTTGTTGCTGATCCGCAGCTGGTAGACCCCCATACGTACCCTGGTCGGCCGTGGCCCCTGTCGACCCTGACGGTGAAATATACGGACCAATATATGCGGCGGTCGTTTTCGTCGGTTCAGCGGAAGCTGGCGCCAGACTCGGTCTTGTTTCTGGGCGATCTGTTCGACGGGGGGAGAGAATGGGCGAGGGGGGAGTATTCGAGTCCGGAGAAGCAGTATCAGGGCTACAAGGATTCGTTTTGGAAGAACGAGTTCGGGCGGTTTGTCAGGGTGTTTTCGGAACACCTGAACGATGGGGATCCGCGGTCGATGGATCCCCGCGGCCGCAGGATGATTGCGAGTCTGCCGGGGAACCATGACCTGGGGTTCGGGACAGGGGTCCAGCAGCCGGTGAGGGATCGGTTCCAGGCTTACTTTGGTACTGGAAACCGAGTCGATGTCATTGGCAATCACACGTTTGTATCGGTTGACACCGTGTCGCTGAGCGCGATGGATCAGCCAGACCCCAACACGGGCAGTTCGGGCACCGGTTCTGGAGATGGGCAGCAGCCAAATTACCAGATCTGGAAGGATTCCGAGAGTTTCCTCAACAGCGTCCATCTGCACAAGGCAGCCGCGGAGAGCCAGGAGCTTCGCATGCTGAACCACCATAGCGAAGGGATAATGTTCCACCATCGAGTCTTTCAGAACGCTTTGGAGCCGTCGGTATACAAACTTCCCGAGCCGCGGGGCGTCGACTTGCCAACTGTGCTTCTCACCCATGTCCCCTTGTTCCGTCAACCGGCCACGCCCTGCGGCCCCCTGCGAGAGAAATACCCGCCCTCCTCCGAGGGCGAGTTGGAGCAGGACGAGCCGAACGCTCTCAAGATCCAGGGCGGCTACCAGTACCAGAATGTGCTGACACCCGCCATCTCAAACGACATCGTTTCCAAAGTCGGCCCAACCCTCATCCAGGTGTACTCTGGCGACGACCACGATTACTGTGAAATCACGCACCGCGAGTTCAGCGGCTCGCCCAAGGAGATCACCGTCAAGAGCCTTTCCTGGGCCATGGGGGTTCGCCGTCCCGGCCTGGTCCTCGCCAGTCTCTGGAACCCCATTGACCCCCAGACAGGCAAGGCGATGGCGACCGAATCTGCCCCGGTCACTCTTCAAAACCATCTGTGCCTTCTGCCGGACCAACTCGGTATTTTCATCCAATACGGCTGTCTGTTTGCATTCACCTTGCTTGTTCTCCTGGTTCGGGCCGTGGTCCTGGTCTTCCACCCACCGCCAGTCGATAGAGATGCTATTCTCGACCCCGTCCTGCCTCTTACAGAGCAGCGCTCTCAGTATCCTCCACTTCCTCCCAGAATATCCTCTCCTCCAACCTCTAGTACCTCCAGTTCCAAGACCTCATCACCCGTCGGCTTGGCCAGTCGTGCCGTGAACGCACCAACCCCCCGCTACAATCCTTCAAAGCCATACTCGGATGCGTATCCTATAGAGAATTACTCCGACGGGTCGAAATGGAAAGGCCGCCGACCCGGAGGGCCAGGTTCCGATTCCTCCAGCCATCAGATTCTCCGAGAATTCATTCGGTCGATCAAGACAGTTGCCAGGATTGTTTTTCTATGGTACTTCTATTTGATTTGGACGTGGTGATTTCTTCTCTCTTTTCCTTTTTTCTATGTATATCTATCAATCGTCAATTTCCGGGTCTTTTTTGTCAGGAGCATCTATCTGGTCAGGCGCAATTTTTATACTATGGTGTTTACAGCGTGGTCATCCAAAGGCAAGCCTCTCATGTGTTTTATAATAGACATGGTACAATCAATTCATGAGGGTTGCCTTCACAGCCTTCACAGCCTTCAGCACGGCGTCCAGCCTTCTTAAGTTCTAATTATTTTCAATCTTGCTGCCTAGCAATCAGCCCGTAATTTCTTTAGACAGATAAAGAATAGAAATATTATATGAACATATTCTAGAATTTTTTTGCTATTTTCCCGAAAAGTCTCCCTATAGTAGTACTGTTACCCCAAGTCAATCTCTGCCATGATAGCAATAGCCAACACGAGAGTTGTCAAAATGACCTAAAAAAAAAAACGTATTAGCATTGACCTGTATTGATTTCGGTTTGTTCTATCGTTGCATACTAGTATCATTAACCCCCCGATACAATTCAACTCCCACCCACCGGCATACACCTTGCCCAAGGCAATGGCATTCTGCTGTTTCCAGAAACGATGGGCCCCCATCAGCGCGATAGCCATGGCAGCCACGTAGCAGACGACCGACAGCGGGATACCGACGCGGTAGAATCCCAGGCCTGTAGTAGTCGTCTGCTGCTGGAGGCGGAACAGTTGTGCGATCAACACTCCTTGCATGGCGAGAGTCACTGACGTGCGGATATATGCAAGGAAGGTTCTTTCAAGAGCTGATCATAGTAAGTAAATACACACACATATATATAAGCTATAGGAATGGTTCTTTTTACCAAAATGATCGCGGTTATTCTTCTGCGGCACCGTCAGGACGACATGACGCGTCCAGAACCGCCGGACACGATCTGGGATCCATCCATTCTGGTTTCCCCTCGATGTCTGCGTTGACTGGCGGGAGACAGTCCGGCGCGTGGTGACACGGTACTCGCCCGACGAAATCGAGGCGCTGTCGTCGTCGAAGTCGTCGTCGCACTGCGTGGGAATCTCGTTCAGTTCGAGGGCATCTCGCTCACCGTCGCTGGTGCTGTTGCTGGTGCTGCTGGTGCTGCAGGAATACCCTGTCTGCGATTCTGTTTCTGCGTTTGACGGCGTCTCTTGTATTTGTAGCGAGGACCGTTGCCTGAGCGTGGTGTCTGCCATGTTGCGCGCGCGAGGGTTGAGGTTGGATGTGCATGTTTTCCCGCCGTTATCTGGCGGTGATGGAATGACGTCGGTATCGGTCGGCGATCGGCATTTATATTGATATTGATATTAAAATTGAAATAGAAACTGTTTCAACAGATCTAGATACTTAATTTATTGTTTACTTAAGATTATCTAGACTAATGTTGTAGTCATCCAGTCTGGCTTCTTCTCGGCGAAAACCTCTTTCCCTGGCGCTGATATGGGCTCAAACAGCGATGCCTTCAAGTATGCCTTTCCAGGGCTCATGGGAGTTATTGTCACAATGGCACTGTCAATGTCAATTTCACAATTAATTAGTCTTAGGTATTGGTAGTAGTATTGCTGGTAGAAGGTACGTACCTGCCACAGCCTGAACAGAAGCGACGCTGTCAAGGTCAGTAATAGTACTACAATATATAGTACAGTATTGTAGCTAATTGAATAGATGGATTGAGACATACTATAGCATTACCACTCCGTGACTTTGTATCATGGTATTCTCTCAAAGTACCCTTGCGGTCGTCAATGGTGATATGACACTCATCGACAAAGTAATTGGCCGAGCAGACTGAATCGTGAGTAGATATGAGACTGACGGAGTACTAAGTATGTACTCACGGCCACCGACTTTCTTACAGCCCGTACTATAAGTTTATTAGTCTTTTACACCTGTAGGTACCTGATGGTTCGGTATACGTACCAGTAGCAGAGAACGGTATTCGATGGTTGATGGGGGAGAGTGATGCGGATGCTCTCGCAGTTGCAGGTACCGGTATATGACATGTTTGGCGGAGGTTCAGTCTCGAGTGTGTGATTTAAGGATTAGTTTCATGGAAGAAGGTGAAGAGAAGCTTAAGATTCAGTTTCAGACTCAAGATATAGAGGAATATCACGTGAGTCTGATTATTTAGAAGTGAGGACTCGTCTAGGACCACAGGCTACCAGCATTCCAAATGCGACTCTGAATGCTTTATTGCATTTAAGCAGAGCTCTTGATACAGAGTAGCCTTGATTGCAACCTGGATACCTAGGTAGGTACCTGTGTAATTGATAAACTGTATATTACATACGCCTACGAGTATAATCAAGTACTACATATAGTAACTAAATGCCATGATACCATAGCACTTACCATATGTATGCTCATAAGTACCATATTATAATAGCAAGACTCACAATAATCACACTATTCCGCTTATCCATACACTACACCTATCTATTTATGCTTGTAAATAAATCTATTTTTTGCAGTTGTATAGTTCGTGCTCGAGTCACAGTGATCCGACATCGGCCTGAGTATACGCACCATCCTCCAATCCCAGCAATGATTATGTTTCGTGGAGCCTGGTACTCAGAACTACGTAGTCGGTACCTACCTCCTACCTAGATGGAAGAAGCTTAGTAGTGTGAGTGGCACCTTTGTACAGTGTAGTCTGTACAGATTATGCAGTATCTACGAGACAGTCGGATTCTATAAGAAAGGTGCGGTTCAGGCCCGACATCGGCCGCGATATATCATATCAACAATATAAGAAGCATCAACATCTACCCATCTACACGACAACAAGCATCTCTTCTTTGATCATTACGGCTGAGAATATCTAAATATCCAAATATCTAAATATCCAAATATCCAAATACCCAAATATCCAACATGGCTAAACCAGACCACTGGTCCTCAGAGGTACTCTCTACTACCTACTTCTCAAGCAGTGATACTAACTATGCTAACAAAGGCATATTCAACCTCCGCCTCGTTCGTCCCCCAGTTAGCCTCTACCGTCCTCTCATACCTGAACCCGCAACCCACAGATCGTGTCTTGGACGTAGGCTGCGGTGATGGCAAGTTCACTGCCCGCTTTCTCCCTGCCGTGGGCGAGGTGGTGGGCGTCGATTCCTCGCCGAGTATGATCCAGTCCGCGACCAAGGAATACGCTGGTCCCCGAGCGGAATTCAAAGTCGTCGATTGTCGGTTTCTTGATGAGCAGGGTTTTACCGGATTTGATAAAGTGTACGCTCTCTCTCTCTCTCTGGGGGGGTGTGTGTGTGTGTGTTGCTGACCTTTTAGTATATCTAATGCTGCCCTGCATTGGATCCTCCGAGATGAATCAACCCGCATGTCTACCCTGCGTGCATGCTACTCGGCACTCAACCCAGGTGGCAGCTTTGTCTTTGAGATGGGTGGTCACGGCAACATCGACGAGATGGTGGCGGCGCTACTGGCCGTGCTGGTCGGGCAACAGGGCATCTCCATCGAGAAAGCGAGAGAGGCGTGTCCCTGGTTCTTCCCATCAGAGAAGTGGATGCAACAGGCCCTCGAGGAGATCGGCTTCGAAGTCGTCAAGCTGGAGACCGAGTTCCGTCCTACCCGGCTGACGGACGACGCGGCTGGCGGCCTGGCTGGCTGGGTAAGGCTGATGGGCGCCCAGTTCCTGGACTTGCTGCCGGATGCCAAACGCGAGGAGGCCGTTCAGCAGGTCTGTGCTGTGCTGCAGACCGTCGTCACTAGGATCGAGGATGGGAGTCAGTATTTGAATTACGTGCGCTTGAGGGGAGTCGCTAGGAGGGTCTAATATTAATAATAGCCAATTAACCCGAAATTTTGTTATACATCAATCTATATATCTATACATATGGTTGATTATCAATTATGAATGTCTACGCCTCCTCATGAGAACCCCCAGGGGAATGTCCTCCTCGTCGTAGAACTCGATGGCCTCGTCGACCCCAAAATCACGCAGCCGTTCGCCCTCGGAGTTCTTCCAGCTCTCCTCCCCTTCGTCCGGCTCGCTGCTCTCCGCACCGGAATTATCCTCATCCGTGGACGCGGGCTCGTCGTACCCATCTTGTCCAAACCGATCGTGAAACCGCTTCCGGCGCTGCACGCGGACCATGTCCTCTGCCTGACGGCGATTGAAGGCTTGGATCTCCTCCCGAGCAGAGCTGTACTGCTGGGGGACTGTAAAGGGCTCGTTTCCCATCTGTCTCAGCGGACGGGGGATACGGTCGGGGTCAGGCGGGGGCCATGACAGATCAGAGTCTAGAGCGTCAATATACCAAAGACGTTCTAATAGAGATAAATGGAAATAAAAGGATGACCTTACCTTCGAACCCGTTGACTGGAAAATCCCAGCCACTTTTTCGGCTTTGAGTTGCAGCCAACGGCCAGAACCAACTGAAAATCTAATATTGTCAATACAATTGAAAACGGTATCGTGATTGAGAGGACCAACGTTCAAACTACCCCCCATTCCAGCCTTTATATTCGACCAAATCCCAATGTCGTACGGGAACTCCTGCTTCTTAATCTGAATTTTGACCCCTCCCGGCCCGTCAAGATAGCCACCCAGGTATTTAGCCCGTCGAACGAGAGTCTTGTGCCGTTCGATCTCCCATGTCTCAATCGTCGTCTCGTTGGCACCCAGAGACCATAGACTGCGGAAAAGCAGTATGGAAAGCGTAAAGACTGTTAGACTGTTCACCACAATCAACAGGAAAAGGTGGAACATCTGAAACACGCTGGGGCCAAGGTACTACCACTGAGATCAGCCCAGGACTCGCCCATATATCACATTTTCTAAACACGTACGCTCGGTAAGTTCCGGTTAGCCCATAGAATAGACCCTCTCAAGAAGAGCCGAGTCTCCAGATATCCCATTCCCACCACCGCAAAGAACAGAAAGCGGATGAAATGTGGGAAAGTAAAGTGAGACACACAATTCGACGTCCAGGGGCAGTGGTGATCCATCTTGGGGATACATCTATTATTATAAGCTCATGCCTTATCCTTACCCCTACAAAAAAGACGTAGAACACCGCGGTGAGAACCTACCGCTGGCATGTCTTGCAATGGTGAGCCCGAGGGGGCTTGAACGCCTCACATTTCCGACACCACCGCTGCCGTCCAGAGGCCTCGGCCTGTGAACCCTGGGCGTCGGATGTGGAGCCGTTGTTCGTCTGGGGCGGTTCCCAGTCCTGTGGAAGACGTCCCGGATCAACGGTGCACGCCCGGTAATAGCAGATCCAGATGCACAGGGCAAAACAATTGATCCCCCACACTTCGTCGTTGGTCAGCGGTGCATCTTCAAAGTGCAGGAAGAGGTACTGCGATGTGTAGGCGAGGAAGCTGATCAGAACGGAGACCGCAGGGACTGCCAGCTGCGAGATCTGGAACGATTCTCGAGCCATCAGGCCTGTGTGTCCTCCTTGTTACTCTCCGGCAGAGGCCAGACAACCTAGGAGTTGATGTTGTTTATATAAACGTTGGCAAGAGGCAACGTTGACGGCAAACAAACAGTGCAAATGCGGTCAATGCTGAGTAAGCAGGCTGGTTTGCAGTGCGTGGAATTATCACATCAACCGATCACTTTCAACCAACCGAGCACTTTATACTAATTAATATACGCAAGACTCACTATACATCGTCATTCAAATACACGAGATCTCTCAACGTGACTAAAAGCATGATCGAAACGAGAGGGTAGAACGAACCGAGGATGCCGATCGAGGCCCTTCCAGCGGCCACCGTTCGAGCAATTGGCTCCCTGTCGGTGATCACAGACGCATGTTCTGTGGTGAAAGAACTGTTGGACAATGCGTTGGATGCTGCTGCGTCGTCGGTGACAATTGAAGTGTCGCAGAATACCCTTGATGTGATCCAGGTCAAGGACAACGGGCACGGCATCAACCCTGAGGACTACGCGATGGTTTGCCGGCGCAGCTTCACGAGCAAGATCTCCACGGTCGACGATCTGGTGCAGACTGGGGGCCGGACCCTGGGCTTTCGAGGCGTGGCTCTTGCCAGCATGGTGGAGATGGCGGGGGCCGTGATTGTCACCACGCGGGTCGAATCGGAGGTTGCTGGGTCCTGTCTGAAATATGGACAAGATGGGGAGCTCATCAGGTTTTCACCCTACTTTTTTTTTTCTCTCTTTTGTTTGTACTGACGACTCAGCTCCCAACGAGTTTCACATCCTGTTGGCACTGCGGTCCGGGTGACCGAGTTACTCAAGCATGTTCCCGTCCGAAGGCAGACGGCTATTAAGAGCGCAGCTAAGACGCTGGGGAGGATCAAGAAACTCGTACAGGCGTATGCTGTTGCTCGGCCCGAGAAGCGGATTGCTTTCAAGGTTCTCAAGGCCAAAAATGAGAGTCAAAATTGGGTCTACGCTCCAGGGAGCAATGGAACTCTGAGAGATGCGGCGATGAAGGTGGCTGGTTCTGAAGTTGTCTCGGTTTGCACCATGCAGGCTTGGCCAGAGGACAAGCCGAATGAAGGCTACAGGGCTGTAGCCTTGCTTCCAAAGGATGATATTGGTAGGTTTAATTACTAATTACATGGGTAATAAATAGGACAGTCTGGCTAAAGGGACCAGATTTCTCGAGAGTGAACAACATCGGCCAGTTCATCAGCGTCGACGGCAGGCCGTTAACTACCACCCGGGGGGTTGGCAGCAATATCGCGAAACTCTACAAGACTTATATACGATCTGCTTCTACTAAATCTATACCAGACCCCTTTCTTTGTATGCACATCTATTGCCCCCGCGGGAGCTACGATGTCAATATCGAGCCAGGAAAGGATGATTTGCTTTTTGATGATTCTCATATCATTATGGAGCTATTAGAAGGACTATTCCGACATATATATGGTGACTTAGAGGGGGGGTCTCCTGCAGAGCGTGTTCAAGACAATGCCGTCTCAGAGAGTGCTCAAGACGACGATAGTTCGTCCCTCCTGACTGTACGAGTACAACCTAGGAATGTGACTCCCCATACACCATTCAAAACCCCCTTTCCGATGAATGCGCGACGAACCCCCCAGTCAGCAAGTTCAGGATCACCACAGGGTTCGGAACTGGAGTCCTTGAACCCATGGTCAGTCACAAGACTCAACGGCAGGTCTGGAAATACAAGAGTATCAAGCCAATTTGTCAGCCAAAGTCCGACGAGCTCCATGGGGTCTAGAGGACTGCACTCAGAGTCATTACAGTCAACTCAACCAACACAGTCCCCGCAGTCTGTATCCTCAACACATTTGCAGTCCCCGCGGACCAGGAACGGCGCACTCGATACATGGTTCAAGACACTCCGAGAGATGCGAGAGGAGCGTTCACAATTACGGCAGTCTCAGCCGAAGCCTTCGCAACCCTTACAATCCTTACAATCACAATCTCAGCCTCAGCCTCAGCAAGAAGCCCATAGAGAACTCGAACAAGCCATGGACTTTGAATACCGCAAACGAGCCGCCAACCAGCACCGTAACCGATACCTTGCCGCGCGGGCTGCCCTGACAGACTCGAGAGAAAGCAATAGCAACAGCAGCAGCAGCAACTGTGATCTCTTATTCAAAGACAGACTTAGACCATCAAGAAACGAGGGCTTACAGATAACCATGACGATACCCGCGGACATGCAAGCCGTAACGGGCTGGGTTGCAAGACTGTCACTTGTGGATGCGTACACGGGAAACATGGATGATAAGAGCGGGTTAGACGTTGAGGATTTAGATGTGGGATTCAGACTGGAAGAGTTGATGAAAGCACGATAGCAATTCTTAATAAGGTGGGCAGTTAACTATTATCTTAAGGAAGGGTATCACCAGAGAAAAAAAATAAGAAAAGCCGATAAAACAAGGGCATTCATTGAAGATCTCTTCAAGCTGATCCCCGCGCTGCTCTGTAAACTGCCCGCAACCACCTTGTCAGGTGTGATACACATCAACTGCGTATCTGCCCAGGACTCCTCCCCGTTCTGCGAGGCATTATTCCACGCGGTGACGATGACGGGCAGCGCGGAATCCAGCTGCTTCAGATACCAGCTTGTAGTATTCCCTGATGCCCCGATTCCAAATGTGGTGGTACAATTCTGGCTTTTTCCGAAGATTTCTAGTAAATCAGCCAAAACAATACTTCCAACGCTATACATATCTTTCAAAAGGGGTCTTACCTGCAGTAAGAGCCTCATAGGAAGGACATCCATCAGTGGGGAGTGTTGTCATCTCCCCACAAGGAGACTTGGGGCTTCCATTCTGCGAGAAAGAAAGAGCCGTACTGTTGATGGAGGAGAGGATGGAAGCTCTGCACTTGGAAGAGAGAAAGGCGCTGCAGCTCTGCTCACTGGCTGTGTTTTCGTACTTGGTGGTAATGGGGGCTCCCTCGTCGAAATCAGAAAGGACGATCAGGCATCCCTCATACGACAGAGAAGGCAGGGGATCTCCATTGCTGGTTTGCAGGCCGAAATACTGCCATGAGGTTTCGGAGGAGTTGGTCACGTCGAGGGTTGTGAAGAGAGAATAGTTGCCTGAAGCTGAAGAGGTGCTGCTTGCGCTGGATACGGGGGGACTGGGATATGGTAAGCTGATGCTGCCTGAGGCGTTGTATGCGTTCCTGAAGCAGGAGTTGCTTGCCAGAGCCAGGCTAGCTAAAAGGAGGAGGGAAATCATTGCGTGTTTCTCAGTATACAGATAGTAGGAGATTAGAGTGGGAGATTAGTTTGAGTGAGTCCCTAAGGTAGTAATAAGTATTGTGTCGGTATTGCCGGAGCATACTATTATTTAACAAATCTGAGACAAGCAGCGATCAACGTCAGCATTCTTCCAGTCCGTGTGGAGTAGGACTGTGCTACGTAAATCTTCTCGCATGAGGCTACAAGACTCCGAGTGTCCATACTCCAAAGTAGTAGTTGAACGATTATTGTATTATGTCAGAGTACTACTGATCTAGTATCCCCTCTGGCGGTTGTACCCATTGATCAGAGGCTCACCCTTGCGCAGCCGCTGGGCATTCAAAGCAAGAATATCCATGGCGCGGCGGAAATATTCCACCCCCAACGAGCTTGTGTGCGGGCTGATGGTCAGGTTCGGGGCGTCCCACAGCTTCGAGTCAGCGGGCAAGGGTTCAGGGTCCGTAACGTCCAGGGCGGCGCCGCCAAGCGTGCCGTCCTGCAGGGCTTCGATTAGGGCGTCTTGGTCCAGCACGCGACCGCGCGAGATGTTGGTCAGGAAGGGCTTGGCTTTGGAGTTTGCCGTGGGGGCCAAAGAGGCAGTGGTGCTGCTGTTAAACTGGGCCAACAGGGCGAATTCCTCCTTACCCAACAGGCGAGTCGTCTGGGGAGTGAGTGGCAAGGCAACCACAAGATGGTCGAGTCCCAGGGAAATAAACTTGTGGAGGGACTCTTTATCGCTGCCGTGGTGCCAGCTGACAGGCAGACTGCCGTCCGGATCACCCGTGCCGGGCACAATGTAGCCTGTATCGCGACGTGACTCGGGCGTCAGGCGCGGGGAGGCTGTGTAGGCGTGGACGGTCATTCCCATTGCAACAGCGATCCGAGCGACTAGATAAACACAAAAAAAAAACATATTAGCAGGATAGTCATCTTTATTTTTGATCTCGAACTGGGGGATTTTTTTACTTTGTCTACCGATACTTCCATAGCCGAGAATACCAACCCGCTTGCCGACCTGGTCATACAAGGAATTCAGATAGCCGGGAGTATTTCTATCCCAAATATGATCTTTCTGAGCCTGCTGGGTTTTAAGGAATCCGCGCGAGGTAATCAGCCAGTTCATGATCGTCCATTCTGCGATCGGGGGACCGTGGAGCCCGGAGCTGGTGGAGATGGGGATCTGCGTGTCCCGTAGCAGGGGCAAGTGCTGGAGGTGGTCAATGCCGGCAGAGGTAGTATGAACTAGCTTCAGACTGATCAGTTAGTATTATTACGAGCAATCTATTCGATTCAAATCACTAGAGTCAATGTTACTTCTTTGCGTCCTCGGGGTCAGGCACGTGGAAGAAGGTGGCTAGGATGGTTGCCTGGCGATAAAGCTCTGTTTTCGTGTTTGTCAGAAAAGCACAAAAAGAGAAAGAGAGCAGAGGGATCCGTATCCATACCTTTGGGAACAGGAACATCACGCTCGGAGCGATAGATAGTGATCTGCGTGTCTGGGAAGATGTGCTCGAGGTATCCGGGGAGGCTCTCAGGGACGTTGTGATAGTAGATGACGAGCAGATGCTCTCTGGGTAAGACCGCTTCACCCATGTTTATTTAGGATGAGATTGACATGTAGGGAAAGGGGAGAATCATGAGAACTGCAGAACAGTAAGAATCATAAAAGAGAAGGAGGAACAGGCGCGAAGAAAAGAGATGGGAGACCGGAGGAATGAGAAATTGAAGAGGGGTCTTGCGTTATCAGCCTATCTTGATAGCTTCGATAGAGCCAGAAGTGGCAGGCTATGAGGAATACAGTTAGTGACCTGGTCTAGCCAATTAACTGGTATTTAGGAGGTACCTATTACCTAGGCAGCTATATGAATGGACAGATAGATACTCTCATTTCTCTTCTCTCTTCTCTTCTCTCATTTCTCTCTCATTACCCTTCTCATTTACCCTCACTTGTACTCTCATTTACTCACTTGATATGGATACTCTCACATACTCAAGGTAATAGTAACTAGTCAGCTATTAAGTACCTGTAAATTTATAGTTAAAGTTACTTTGTATAGTCCATAGCCAATAATTCTATAGATTAAAGTCTATAATACTCTGTTTTCATTGGTAATCTCTTCATCTTCTCTTCTCCCAGCGTTTCTCTACTGTGGATCACCGATGTCGGAGCACATATAGCCAATCATGGCAGTGGAACAATTGAATTTTATCACGTCTACATTCTTGCTCTAATTTTTTTTTGAAGCATTCAACTACTAGGTTCTGAAGGATCAGATTGACTTATCTTTATCTTGAATAGATCTATTGGATATGGCAGACATGGAGAGCAAACAGGGTCCTGCTGAGAGCCATGATCCGTTTGGCGACGAGGAAACCACCGAGGTGCAGTACAAGACGCTGCAGTGGTGGTAAGCTGAATCTTCCTCTTTTCTAGTCCTGACTGCTAACAAATTATAGGCAATCTGGTATTTGTATGTCTCAGTCAAATCTTTATTTTATTTTTTTTTTCTCTATATTGATTATTGTCTAGTGATGATCGCTGAAACCGTCTCTCTGGGCGTCCTCTCGTTACCCGCCACTGTTGCCGCTATTGGAATCGCTCCGTACGACTCTCTCTCTCTCTCTCTCTCTCCTCTCAGTACAAAACAACTCTTTATCAACTAACAGAATCTAGAGCAACCGTTTTGATTGTCGGCCTAGGCATTATAGCCACCTACTCCGGCTATGTCATCGGCTGCTTCCGCCAACGATACCCCTTCATCCACAGTTTCGCCGACGCCGGTGAGGTCCTCCTGGGGACTCCTGGCCGTCTCGTCTTCGAGGTCGGCCAGTTGATCTTCTTCCTCTTCGCCACAGGCAGTCACTTGTTGACTTTCACCGTCATGATGAACACGATTACCGACCATGGCACTTGCTCGATTGTGTTTGGCGTTGTCGGCATGCTGCTCTCGTTTATCTGCTCCTTGCCCCGGACCATGAAGAACGTGTCCTGGCTGGCCATTACATGTATTTGAATTCGCGAAAAAAGATTTTGCTTATTTACTAATATGCTTTAGCATTCGTGAGCATCTTCACCGCCGTCCTTATCACCATGATCGGAGTCGCAGTGGAACGACCCGGCCAAGGGTTCGACGTCGTCCGCCACACCAGCTTCGTCAACGGATTCACCGCCGTCACCAACATCATTTTCGCCTACTGTATGTAACTGAGAGAGATACATATCTGGATGTATGGATGCTTACTTTTTTTCAGGCGGCCACGCAGCTTTCTTCGGGTTCATCGCCGAAATGAAAGACCCCCGCGATTACCCGAAATCCCTATGCATGCTCCAAGGCTTCGAGATCATCCTCTACACCGTTGCGTCGGCGGTGATCTACCGCTACGCTGGACAAGACGTCACCTCGCCTGCTTTGGGTTCGACGGGGCCTCTCCTCCGCAAGGTTGCCTATGGAATCGCCTTCCCGACTGTACTTCTCTCCCTCTCCCAGAGTCCGGTTGATAGCTCTCTCTTGCTAATATAAATAGATTGTCATTGCAGGTGTGATCAACGGCCATGTGGCGATCAAGAACGTGTTCGTCCGTCTCTTCCGCGGCACGGAGCTCATCCACGAGCGCGGCCTGCGCGCGACAGGCGCGTGGGTGGCCCTCACCCTGGCCTTCTGGACCCTCTCGTGGGTCATCGCCGAGGCGATCCCCGTGTTCAGCAATCTGGTCAGTCTGATCAGTGCCCTGTTTGCCAGCTGGTTCTCGTACGGCCTGCCGGGTGTTTTCGGTCTCTACATGGACTTTGGAAACTACTTTGGCTCCACGAGGAGAACGGTGATCTCTCTGGCGAATCTGGGTCTCGTGGTTGTTGGAGTGACGGTAGTAAGTTCCCTAGATCAATCGTCTCTAGATAATTCATCGAGTCTCTTGCTAACAGTGATAGTGTGCGTGTGGTCTCTGGGTGTCTGGAGTGGCCATCCACAACGACAGTTCCAAGACGAGTTTTTCTTGCGCAAATAATGCATAGACATGGACAGTGGGCATGAATAGACATAGACATAGACAGGTATAGACAGGCATAGACATGGACATTTATAGACAGCATATATAGACATAGATAGGCATAGACAAAAGACAGAATAATGGACAAACATTATAATAAAGTATATCTCACCTAACCATGTCATGATCTCGAATTTCAGATATAATTAAATCATTCTACACTATATGACGATCCTATACTCATAGGTACTCCTACTGAGTTCCTGCAGCTGTTGTACAGAAAAAGCAAAAAAAACACTTTCCTCACTAATACTTACCGATTGTCTCTTTGTTAATACTTACTCTCCTTTACTGTTCAATGTCCTAAAATGCCCCTCCGAAGCATCGTCCGTCGACTGACAGACCTCGACCCCCCTCAACAAGTGTACATCCCCCCTACCTCCTGCAATGCCTCCGACTCGGACCCCAACCCCTCGCATTTCCCCCCTGCCTCAGCGTCAAGAAATCCCAACCTCCTCCCACGCACGATCGACCCTTCCGCCCTGATCCCCCAAGCAGATAAACTGCTCGCGTTCCGCGCCCTGACAGGCATCGACAGCCTTCCCTGCCTAACGGAACCAGGCCACCTGCACCGTCCAGCAGAGAACATAGGCATCTACGCACGCGTGCACGCCCACGAAGCCAGCGCGGCCCATCGCTCCCGCTTCTTCAGCATCCTAGTGACCGCCTGTCTGGCCGTGCAGATTGTCGTGGCGGCGTCGTTGACGGCGCTCGGCGCTGCAAGGGGCCCGCACGCGGCCATCACGGCCTTTGGCGCGATTAATACCATCGTCGCCGGGGTGCTGACGTACCTGAAGGGCAGTGGCTTGCCGGATACCCTGAAGGAAAGGAGGAGACAGTGGAGGGATGTCAGGGAGTATATTGAGTTCAGGGAGCGGGAGTTTTGTCTGCGTGAGTGTACGCTCGATGTGTATGAGGAGGTTAAAGTCGTTCAGAGGATGTATGACCTTGTCAGAGGGGAGAATAAGGATGCGTGTAGATAGTATAAATAGAATCAGCAGACCTTATTGAATATGTGATGTCATTACTATGAACGAGAAGGTACTATGTCGGATCTGTCTTCATTCCTTATGGCTATTAATCAATTACTGTGTATGTACATAGGTACTCGTATGTACATAGGTACTCGTATGTACATAGGTACTCGTATGTACATAGGTACTCGTATGTACATTATTACATCCATAGTCATCTCTCATCTCATCTCATCCCATCTCACAATTGTAGTAGAGTCATTCTCATTTCGTTTAAGCAGCAGCCTTGGCCTTGGTATCCACAGGCAAAGCCAACCAGACGCCCGCCAGAACGATCCAGATCGCACCCGAGAACCAGACAGCGCCCCCGCCAGCGATGGCGGTCGAGTCGAACGTCGTGATGATGGCAGCAATGAGCCCGAACAGGCGCCATGTGCCGCCCAGGACACCGACGCTGAAGCCGCGCACGGTGGTCGCAAACGCCTCGACCGTGTAGATGGTCAGGATGGCCAGGTCGGCGTAGTAGAGGAAGGAGAGCACGCATTCGAATCCGAGCAACGCCCCGTGAGACCGCGACACGCCCGACAGCAGCATGAACAGACCCGTCAGCACGGCGAAGATCGCCCCGCTGCGCTGCCGGCCTAGCCACTTCGCCTCGATCATGACTGCGGCCACTAGCGGGCCCGGGATCGCACACAGCGCCACCCACAGGTACTGTCGGAACAGGTACGGGGTCGTCACCGTCGTCGGGTTCACGGCCGACACCCCATGCACCGCCAGGTAATTGCTCAGGTAGGTCTTGTGCAGCGGGAACGTCAGCCCCATCATCGCCCACAACAGCAGCAGCAGACCCAGTCCCATCGGCTTGAGCGTGGCCAGGATGTGTCCCACGCGCGTCCGCCGCTGGGCCTCGACCGTCTCCGCATCGATCGTGGAGTCGATCCGTGCAAACGACGACTCCGTCAGCCATGTTTGCTGCCGCTTGTTGTATGTCGCAATGTCTTTGACCAGCTGCGTCGCCTCGGCGTCGCGGCGGCGCGCAAGGAGGAACTTGGGCGTCTCGCGAAGTGGGAACATGAACCGGCACAGATACAGGAAGAGCGTGATGCATCCGAAAGTCCACCACACGTAGCGCCAACCCTTGTTCGAGACGTAATGGCACGAACTGCTACTGCCACTGCTGCTGCTGCTGCTGCTTCCACTACTGCTGCTGCTGCCGCTGCCGCTATGACTGTAGGCCTTACTAGCATAGGTTTCGGCGGTGCTCTCTTCATCGGGGCCGGTCCCGCAGGTCCAGAGAGCAATAAAGGCCCTTGGGTAGATTGTCAGTACCTAAGGAAAAGAGAAGATGATGAAGAAGAAATACTCACCAGCCTACTGCAGAGGCAACCAACTGTCCCAAACCCCAGAATACACCTTGCAAGGCAACAAGATACTGGTGGGAAGCAGGCAGAGTTTCCAACAGGACCATGGCATCGACTGCTTGGTTGCCCGCGACGGCAAAGCCGACGACGAAACCAACGACGCAGAGACCGGTGAAGGCCGGCATACCGGCACCCACCAGGCCGCCCATGCCCATGAGGACCAGCGTGCTGGTGAAAATCCACTTGCGGCCCAAGGCATCGGCCATGAAGGGCCATGCCGTCGCGCCGACTGTCAGACCCACGTACATGCTCACAAACAGAAAGGCGGCGCGGTTGCCCTCGCTGGCGTAGAAAAACTGCGCCTCGTTGGAGGCAGCAGGGCCGATGATCAGGAACGACATCGTCCAGAACTATGCCATCAGTTTACCTCGTATAGATATAGGTAATGAATGATATGGGGGGTTTGAGGAGGTCTCACGCTGTCCAGAAACCATCCCGCGCTGGTGATGATCCAGAGGAACCACTGGTACCGGCCCATGCCCAGGTCCAACAGCGCCTTGTTCAACAGCTGCGCCTTGGCCGCGAAGACGGGATCCGCGCCGGCATGGATGTCGGGCGTCTCGATGGCCGAGCCATAGAGATTGCCATACACCGTGTCAGCGGCAGGCTGTTTGGGTTGCGGCGCCTTTTCGAAATCGGCGACCAGAGTCGAGGCCGCAAAGGCACTCTGGGCCTCGATGTTTCTAGGCTTGCTCGCGGGGGTGATACCGTCACTATCCGCCATGGTGCTAGTAGTACTACTCGGTTCTAGTACCAAGTGTGGGAAGCTATTCTAGAGGGACTCGATGGATTATAAGCGATCCAGTTAAGGAACGATCTCCCCACTTCCCATGCCGGCATCTCCTGATAAGGTGCGGTAAACAGGCGAGACTGACTACTGATAGGAGAAGTATTGTTTGTTATTATCCATGACACATTCAATCGTTGTTTGCTGGCCGGGTCGTTTCGGACCTGGCCGCGGAGAAAGCATGACAGGACAATCACCACCTAATCTAGAGCTCTCCCAAGCCCTCCCAGGCCTAGTAAAGGCGTGGACGCGGGTTTCTATGAGTCATATGGTCGAGCGGTATACGGAGTACTCCGTACGATTCAACTAGTTTTCGTCCGGTCTAGTAGTGAAGTATCTGCGAATCGCTTGGTCAGTGAGAGCTCTGAAGAACCGGGGAGGGACCCAAGACTCCAACAGAAACCCTGGCTTGCTTTCTATTCTATTGGCTGCAGACCCTCGCCTACGTCAGCTCCAGCTTGGCATCACGATAAGATACCTGCCACCGATGGTCTCCGGTCGAATCCTGCAGGCAAGCAAGGGCGACATAAGCAAAGAATAAGCCTAAATGGCCATTGAGAGTCTCCGCGGAGGCCATATTGAGAATAAAAGAAGAGAAAGACAGCGATTATGGGGGGGAAGAGAGATAAAGGAAGGCCAGAGGGAGGGAGTCGCGTTTGTCCTCAAGCGGTGAAAATTCGCTGGCGTTATCGGAACAGCGGGGAGAAATTTCCTTCGGCGCAGACTTGATTGATAATTAGTGATTATTGTCGTGTGATATGATCTAGCAACAGTATTCCCAGGTAAGTTATTGTAGAGAGCACCGTTGAGGCACTTGGATGCTCAGGAAGGAGCCGAGGTGGTGTCAGTTTGGACTGTTGTCAGGTCAGAGATGAAACCCTAAGCTCTAACCCTATGAAAAGGCCCTAAGCCCTATGTTCCGAAAATGGGGTATCACGTGTAGGCGGAAAGTCGCTGCAGAAAATACCATGCCTGAGGCTCAAATTCATGCCTGGGGCTTATATTCATGCCTGAGGCATATATTAGTCAGATCCACGTGGCACGTGATGCATATCCCACGTGATTTCCGCCCCCAACTCAGCCGCAGATCTTCAACGTCTTTTCTCGTGTCCACTTCACCATCACTAATCAGAAAAGGATAATCACTAATCACAAAAGAAGAAAAGATCACTAATCTCACAATGCAAGTTACGAGCACACGAATCAGATGGAGCCAAGTCCACGGGCCCGTGGACTCCCGCGGCGAAGTCCGTGTTAATTTCAGCTCGGGAGGACTTTTGGCCCGTCCCGTTTCAGTCGGGGTCGGAGGAGCGCTAGACAATTGAGTTGGTTTGGCATTTGGCATCCACTCTGACGGACTCCCCGAGCTGACGATCAATATGATAGATATATATATGAGGTTGAGGCCGGCATGATGGAGGATCAGCACAGTCCAAAAAGCCTCAACTCACCACGATGAGCGCCGACCCGAGTATCGACACCCAGGTGGAGGCGGTGAATCAGGAAAACAATAGTAATGGCGTCTGGGAAAAGACTGCCGATGCAGCAGATGCAGATACCGAGCAGGGATCAAGCACGGAGGAATTTGCGTTGGGGTGGAGGGGAATCCTGGTGTTCTTCACCCTATGCATCCTCTCCTTGATGGCCGCCTTGGATGGAACGTCGCTGTCGGTCGCGTTACCAGTAAGTATCTAAGAAAGAAAGAAAGAAAGAAAGAACAAAACCATGTCTGACTTGGAAGATCATCTCGGATGCGCTCAATGGCACGGCCATCGAGGCCTTTTGGAGCGGAACCTCTTTCCTGCTGCTGTCAACTGTGTTCCAGCCCAGTTTCGCTTCCTTGTCAAACATCTTCGGCCGGCGGCCCCTGATCTTGATAGCCGTCGCCTTCTTCTTCGTCGGGGCTGTGGTATGTGCTGTGGCCAAGAACTTCACCTACATGCTTGTCGGCCGGTCCATCCAGGGCCTTGGCGGCGGTGGCATCATCGCCTTGACGGAAATCATCGTCACGGATATCGTGCCTCTGCGTCTGCGCGGGCAGTACTTTGGCCTGCTGAGTGCCATGTGGAGTTTGGGATCCGTCACTGGGCCGATTCTGGGCGGTGTTTTCGCTGAGGATGTCACCTGGGTATGTTTTTCCTCTCTTTGTGTGTGTGGCGATAAACTAATTGTACAGCGCTGGATCTTCTATATCAACTTCCCCTTCATCGGGGTCGGGGCGGTCTTTGTGCTGCTCTTCCTCAACCTCAACATCATCCCGAGCTCATTGGCCGAGAAGCTGCGGCGGATCGACTACGTGGGAACAGGGCTTTTCATCGGCAGCATGGCATCCTTCCTGATCCCCTTGACATGGGGTGGAGTGCTGTACTCGTGGTCGTCGTGGCGCACGCTGGTGCCGCTGCTGATCGGAGTAGCGGGTCTGACGGTGTTTGGCGTGTACGAGTGGCGGTACGCGACCGAGCCGATCATCCCGCCGGGCATCTTCCAGAACCGCACGGCGGCGGTCTCGTTCATTGGCAGCGTGCTGCAAGGGCTGGTCCTGTGGTGCGCGCTGTACTACCTGCCGCTCTACTTTGAAGCCGTCAAGGAGTACTCGCCCGTGCTGTCGGGCGTGGCGCTGTTCCCGGACTCCTTCACGGTCGCCCCCTCGGCCATGGCGACGGGCTTTCTCATCACCCATTTCGGAGCGTACCGGTGGGCGGTCTGGGCCGGATGGGCCCTCTCCATGCTGGGGATGGGCCTGATGTGCCTGATCAAAGTCGACACCTCGGTGCCCGCGTGGATCTTCATCAACCTGGTCGCCGGCGTCGGGCTGGGCCTGCTGTTCCCCTCACTGGCGTTTGCCGTGCAGGCGTCCGCCGAGCCGGCCATGCTAGCCATCGCAGTCGCCATGTTCAGCTTCTTCCGCGCCCTGGGCCAGACCATCGGCGTCGCCATCGGGGGGGTCGTCTTCCAGAACCGCATGCGCAGCAACCTCCTCGGTTACCCGTCTCTGGCCCCCATGGCCGACGCCTACAGCCAGGACGCCTCCGGGCTCGTAGAGATCATTCAGGCGATGCCCGCTGGCCAGGAAAAGGCCGACCTCAAGGAGGCCTACACGGCCAGCCTGCGGATCGTGTGGGCCGTCTGCTGCGCCATGTCCGGCCTGGGACTATTGTTGAGCCTGTTGACCGAACACTATGATCTCGACCGGGCACTCGAGACGACGCAGGGCCTGAAGAAGGGCAAGAATGACACTGACGATTCAGAGGCATGATCTAGACTACTTGATTAATCTCAACTCTTTCATTTTACTAAATACAATATAATAATCATACAACTATAGTATAGTTGCATGTACCCATTTCTGTACAAGGTACGAGAAGAAATGACGATCCAGGCTTAGGTTATGCTATCAAATACTCAAGAGAATGAATACAGTATTCACTATTACCATAGTACTCCGTATTGATTAACAGGTCAACTAGCTAGAGCCGCTTGAAAGGCAAGTTAGCAACGAATAGAATAAAGTAGGAACCGGAATCATACTCCCTGCTGCTTGCAAAACTAAACGAAGACCAGTTAGCAAGACTTCACTATGAATAAGGAACCAAACATACCCCGTCAGGAGCGCAGTATAGAGACTCGCAACAGGTTTCCCCGATGGTGGTATTGCTGCATGTTCGGCCGCCCTAGATACAAAGTACTTAGCTGTGGTTCACGTTGTATGAGGTAGTTCTAGTAGATCATGCTGATCGCTTACGCTCTGGCAGGGGATCAGCTCTTCGGCGGAGACGAGAGCCAGGCTCAAAAGGCCGAGGAAGAGGGAGAGACGCATTGCGAGGATAGAGTGTCTGGAGAATAAAACGAATCTCCAGGTGAGGGGGGGCCGTACGGTTTAAATAGGATGCAGGTTGTTGATCTGTGAAACATGATCAGCAGGGGGGTTGACGATCTCCTGTGATCTCATGATAATAGTCATAACTAGATACTAGATACTAGATACTAGTAGTAGATAGTAGACACTAGGTAGTGGATAGTAGTAGTTGTATTAGTATGCTCGTATTATTATCATTAAGTGTGCTAGAAAATCCCAAATCGCTTCTTCGTCTTGTCATCTACTGACGTTAGAACAAGCAGAACTGAAGCAGAAGAAGAAGGAGACTCACTCTTCTTTGGTGCCGCCTGGCCGTCCGCCGCCGCCCGGATGGCCGCGATGCGCTGCTTGGCTCGCTCGTCGCCTCCGTCGGCGGCTTTGACGTACAGCATGTTGGCTTCCAGCGGGTCGCGCCGGCATCCGATCCCCATTTCTGTGAAGTAGCCGAGGGCATACTGTGCTTTGCCGAGGCCTGCCAATCATAAGTATTTATAAATAGTTGAAAGGGGGGGGGGGGGGGGGGGGGGGGGGGGGGTGTAAATGGGGGGAATACCCAAGTCAGCCGCCCGCTTGGCCCATTCGTACGCCTCCGACTCGTCCTTTTCTAGGATGGGCTCCGCGCCGACCAGATACCACGCGCACAGGGCCATCATGGCCAGGGGATGACCGCGCTGGGCGGCACCCGTGTAAAAGTGGATGCTGAGGGCCGGGTCGCGCGGGCAGTGCAGCTTGCCGTGCTCGTACGCATCTCCCAGGCGGTAACTGGCCTCGACATGGCCCAGATCGGCGGAGCGGGTGAACAGCTGCGCGGCGTAGGCCACGTCCTGGAAGATGTCATCGCCGTAGCCGGTCTCGTGCAGGAGGCCCAACTCGTAGGGCGCCGACGGGTACAGCTCGTCCGACGACTCGGCGGCGCGCTTCAGCCATTTGATCCCCTCACGGTACCGTCGACCCAGGCCCATGTCACCCTCCAGGCAGGCGTTGGCCATCCGCAGCATGGCGCCCGGGTGGTTCTTGGACGCCGCCTGCCGGTAGAACTGGACCGCTTTGCCGCCATCCACGCGGCACCCCCAGCCGAACTCGTAGCACAGGGCGGTCCGGTAGCAGGCCTCGACGTGCCCGTGTTTGCTGGCCGCCAGGAACAGCGGGAACGCCCGGTCGTAGTCTTCCTTGCCCTTGCTGAACAGGCCGGACGCCATCCCGTCCGCCAGGTAGTACTGTGCAAAGGGGTAGCTGCGGTCCGCCAGCCGCTGCAGGATCGACCGCGCTTCCTTCAATAGCCCCGCGCGTGTCAGCCCCGGGGCCGTGGCCCCGGCCGAGACTCCTGTTGAGGCTCTCCTGGCCTTGGGACTACTGCCGCCGCCGCCGCCGCCGCCGCCGAGGTCTTCCTCCGAGGAAACCTCCGGCAGCGAGTTCACGATGAAGACGGCAAACTCGTACTGCACGGCCGAGTCGTCGGTCTTCTTGACGTTGGCCAGGTACATGTCAAACGTCTGTTTGTGACTCAGCAGCGAGGCATTGTTGCCCACGGAAGAACGCAAGTGCTCGTGGCCCACCAGCGTGGGCGTGGGCCCCGGCTGCGGGTACGACGTGTTGAGCAGGTCGACAAAGGAGAGCGGTCGCTGGTCCGGCGACGCGGTCGAGTTGCGCGAGGAGGAGCGTGCGTGCAGATACGGCGAGGCCCCTGGTGACAGATGATGGACTTGACCCGGCAAATCCGACACCGAAGAGTACACCGAGGATGGGCGCGGGGGGTACCCCGGTCGCCGAGCAGCCAGATAGACCCCGTTCTGCGGGGCGGCGCCGCCGCCGTCCGTCGGGTTCGAGCTTGATTGGAGTGCCGTCCGAGCATCGCGGAGGTATTGTTGCTGTTGCTGTTGCTGCTTTTTTTGTTTTGAGTGCTGCTGCTGCTGCTGTTGTTGTTGTTGTTGTTGTTGTTGTTGTTGTTGTTGTTGTTGTTGTTGTTGATGATGGTAATGTAACGGTTCATAAGATTCTGGCAGCTGGGTCATGCTATCGAGACTCGCGGGAGAGGAAGTGCCCGTACGGCTGCTGGTTGGCAGATCTCGATCCGAGGAGGAACCGCTCGGCTTGACCGAAGGGTCCCCCTTTGCGCTGGGGTCGACCACAGACCACGAACCACTGCTGGCAGGGGTATGGCCGTACGGTAGAGGTTGCGACTGCCGCGAAACCGGCATCGAGTCTCGTCGGGGAGGCGGAAACGAGTCCGTCTTGCTGTCATTGTCTTCCAGAGCCATGGAGGCAAAGTCTGGGAGCGGCGGCAACGATAGACCTTCATCGTCGGCATGTGAGTTCTCGATGCAGGCCGTCGACGCCTCGGGTAGACCAATGGCATCGTCGATCTTGACGGGCGAGACAGGCGAGTTCTGAATGACGGCGGCGTGATCGATATTCAACGGAGACACGATCGCCGGTTTCCGACGGCCACCAAACGATGAAGGTATCGGCGGGATATCTGCAGAGACATGGAGAGGTGGAGAGGAGCGTAGATAGACCGGGGGAGGAGTGGAGACGGGCTGACGCAGCTCGCCGGCAACGGGGCCGGCCATTGTATGATGGATGTATCTGATCTTGATGTTGTTTGTTTCGATTTCCCTTGGTATCTCTCAATTATAGAAAACTGGTGATGGGGCGGTCGGCCAGTTTCTCTCTCTCTCTCTCTCTCTCTCTCTCTCTCTCTCTCTCTCTCTCCTGGACGTAGACTCCCGGGCTCCAGCAGCACTGTCACTCCTGCAACGACATGGAGAAACTAGTGGAGCAAGAGAAAGAACAGTGGTGTATGTGATATCTCCTCCTGATATTTTCTCTCCCGTTTCCCACCACACTGTCCGTAGAATTGACCGGGTACGAGTGGACACAACTGGAGAGTGAGGACCGCCGGGGACTTCCTAGAGGTTCGGAATTAGCGAGTTGGATCCGGCAGTGAGAGGAGAAGGATTAAAACACTACCTAAGTAGATTTCTCCGACAAGAGACAGGAGAGGACAGACGAGGACAGACGAGGACAGACAAAAAGATGTTCTCAATCGTCTCCGCGAGACAGTCAGGGTCAGCCAAGGAGGAGCTGAGCAGGGAAGGAAGTGGAAACCTCAAGGGTAAAAAAGCGGACCCCGCGGTGGAGGTGGTGGAACAGGCAAGGATGGAAAACGAGAGCAGAGCAGAAGAGAAGAGAAGAGGAAACGAAAGTAGAAGGTGTATAGAGAGAAATCGAGATCCAAAAAAGACCAAGGAGAGAGACGGTGAGTGAGGGGGAAGTGGGAAGAGGAGCAGGACTCCTGACAGAGTCAGTCGAGTCTACCGACGGTAGGGAAAGAGTAAGAGTAATAGTCGTTGTTAGTCGCAGCGAACGACTCGATCAGTGCAGTGAGTGGCTCCGCCTGGAGGGAGTGATTTATGGAGACACTCTTTGTTTCGAAATAGAATAATAATAACGACTAAATATTTAGTAGATTTATTTAATAAAGGAGTGTAAGAAGTGCTGGAATTATTTTATTAATTATTGGAATACCCGTCCTTACTCCACCATCATCATCGGGTATGGATTAATTTAGTATTGCTCATATACCCCGTATTCAAGCAGGTCTCAGTATATAAATATCTTCCCAACGAACCTGATCAGCGGTATGGAGTATGCAGTATGCAGTATGTATATACTTACTTTGTCAGACGTATCCATGTTACTACATAATACCTTAGGTACCTAGTAACTACCTACTAGGTAGTTACTTGGTAGTTACTTGGTAACTAGGTAACTACTTTGTACCTAAACCAACTTCCTACCATCCTATTCAGGAGTACAACCAATGTGGCTACCAGTTATTAATAATTGAAAGAGTCAAAGAGCAGTCAAGACTGCCGAGAAGAAAGACTGAAAATACGAGACTTGCGGCTGATGGAATACGAGTTGATACCCACAGGCTGATACTCCATAAGGACATAATTATACATAAGTCTGTACGACATGGTACGGACTACTACATAGGTATGTACCCCCAAGCAATAAATACTCTCCATGCTGAGCTTCTGACTAGTCAATAAATATTAGGTGGTAGTATTAGTATTAGTATTGGTATTATTTGCATGTACTGAAAATATTATAAAAATAATATTAAAAAGATCTCCCCGACTGGGAGTCGAACCCAGGTCTCCCGCGCTTGTTCTCAGAAGAGATTGACAAGCGGAAATCATGACCGTTAGACCATCGAGGACTCGATGGAAAGAGGCAGAAAATATGCCATTATGAAACAATTATCTTATCAATCATACGGAGTACCGGAGTCGTACTTCATACATAGGGCATTACTCCGTACTACACAGGTAAGTTAGGTACCTACCTAGGTAGTTATGGATCAAAGCATTAGGTAATATTTATTATTTCGTACATACTAGATATTATTCTAGCTAATAGTAGTAACGGGATATACCAGGTACGGAGTACCAAGGTCGAAGCGCTACTCCTTACGGAGTAATTAGAGTCTAACTACTACATACGGAGTCGTACAGCTGGTCTTCTACCTAGGTACTAGGTAACTACTAGGTAACTACTAACTACCTAGGTAACTAACTACTAAGTAGGTACTACTCCGTAGGTGCCCTCTGCTAGTTATTACTAGTAAACCACATCCTTAGTACTCTTTCATCCTCTTTGGCCAATGAGAAGCACACTACGTCCAACGGGGCTAGTCGTGTCTCAATCTGGTCAAGGGGCTTGGTGGGCCAGGGTTTGCAATTTTGGCTTGCCAGATTTAGTCGCTCTGTTTATGGAGTAGCTCGTTTAGCCTGGTCCCTGGGCGTATCCCCTAACAACGGCTTATACAGAGTAACTAATTAGTTAGTTATTAGTACACTTGTTGACACTGTGTATTTAGTAATCTATCTACTCTGTATTATAGATGAATAATATAGTAAATGGTTTAAGAAAATACCTAGTACTCATCATAAACCTATAATCAACCCAATAGTCGTAACTAATACCTTCTTGGTAATTAATACCTTGAGGTATTAATAGGTAGCTTTGGCAGGTTGCAGGTACCACAACAGTCCCGTGATCCTCCCAGCGACCTGACCAACTGACCCGGTTCACTTCAGGGTTCCCCCATGTTTTTTTGGGTGGCCCGCTCTTCTTTGCCCTCTCCTGTTCTTCACTCTCCTCCTCCTCCTCTTCCTTCTCCTATCCTTATTCCCTCCTCCAGGTAGAACCTCCCCGTCCATTACCAGGATACTCTCTCTCGCTTCCTCGGGCTCAGCTGGGTCACCGCGATTTTCCACGGTTTTTTTCCCCGTCGCTCGTTGTGTTTACCCTCCTCTCTCTCCCAGACAAACAAAAGACCTACCCAGTGGGACCGACGACAGACGACATCGCTCGCTACTCGATCGACAGAAGAATCTGAGATCTCTTCATTGTCATCTATTGCATTTCACTTCGTTTTTCCTTGGATTTGGGAATCGGTGGTTTTTTTTTCTATATTTTGGCGACTTTTTATTTCGCCAGTTTCGACTTTGTTTGGTCTCGTTTCCCTTCCCCCCCCCCCCGCAAAGGGTCCTCCGACAAGACACACACGCAAGAACAGAACAGAAAAGGACAGAAAGGAAGAAAGGAAACTCTCAACCTTTTCTTGATCCAATGGAATAGTTCAGCTAGATAAAGATCTATTCTTTTTTTTTCTTTTTTTCTATGTCGGCATTCCACCTTATCGGCCACGAGATCGATCGCCATCCTTCCCCTCGCCCCCACTCTCATTCCTCGCTATCAGCGCTTGCATGATTGACGGCTGTTATCTCGTCCAAGGAGGAGTCTAGAACATGTCGCTGCCTCAAAGACCGGGGCAAGGCTCTTCGCCCCGGAGAGATGAGGCTCGCAGTGCGTTTCGCGAGTCTTCACGGCGGCGTCGCCGCCGGGAAAGTGAGACGGAGGCTCCCTCGACCCCATCCTCCACACACCGCCGCCAACCCTCCTCCCAACGCCGCCGACGCCCGTCGCACAGTTCGCCACGACAGAGAATAGCCCCCGATGGTGACGAGGAGATGCAGGCTGAGATGCCGCGCAAACGCAGTCTCGTCAAGCCCGAGCGCGAGCACCGCAGTCGCGACCATCCCAACTACCACTACCGTCAAAAATCCCATAACATGTCGACCTACCCGTCGACCACCGGCCATGACGCCGCCGCCGCCGCCGCCCCCCTCGACGTCGACGGAGAGGCCGAGACCACCAGCTCCCACAGCACTGAGCTCAAAACCAAGCCCGACTACTACCCCGAACACGGCCACATCAACCGGCCCATGGAACGCGCCCCGAGCCGTCATCGCTCTGGTACCACTTCGTCCAACAACAACAACAATAACAAGCGCAAGGGCTCCCACCGTCGTCGCCGGTCTCGATCCAGCAGCCGCCGCCGCGCCGAGGAGAAGGCGCGTCAGAAGGCCATGGAGGCGGTCACCCCGCCCAGCTTCTGGTTGGTCTATTGCACGGTCATCACTTTCTGGGCCCCCAGCTTCATCCTCCGCTGCTGCGGTATGCCCAACAAGGAGCAACGCAGCGCCTGGCGCGAGAAGATGGGCCTCATCAGCATCATCCTGCTCGTTGGCGCCTTTGTTGGCTTCATCACCTTCGGCTTTCGCGCCATCGTTTGTGCCTCACCCCCCGTGCGTCTCAAGAACAACCACGTCGGCGATGGCTACATGATCTTCCACGGCGCCGCCTACGACCTCTCCGACTCCAGCCACCCCGCTGCCGCCGGCATCCCGGCCGGCTCCAACGTCCTCTACGATCTCGGTCACAAGTACGGCGGGCAGGACGGCAGCTTCTTCTTCCAGGAGGTCAACGGCGCCTGCAAGGGCCTCATCACCCTGGCCGATGGCTCCGACGTTCCCACCAACAGCGATGGCGATCTCGCCTGGTACTTCCCCTGCAATGCCTTCAACCAGGACGGTTCCAGCAAGCCCAATTACACCGACCCTTACTACCTCGGCTGGGCCTGTCACACCCAGGGTGCCGCCCGGAAATCCTTCTACAGTCTCCAAAGCTCCGGTGACGTCTACTTTACCTGGGAGGACGCCAAGAACAAGAGTCGCAACCTCGTCATCTACTCCGGCAACGTGCTCGATCTTGACCTGCTGGAATGGTTCAACACTTCCCAGGTCTCCTACCCCGCCAAGTTCGACGAGCTCCGCGAGGACTCGGACATCCGCGGCGCCGACATCACCTATGCCCTGCAGACCGGCGACGACCGCAAGATCGGCAAGTGCCTCACGGAGATCATCAAGGTCGGCAGCATCGACACCGACACCGTCGGCTGTATCGCCTCCAAGATCGTTCTCTACGTCGCCCTCGTCTTCATCCTCTCCATCGTCGGCGTCCGCTTCATGTTCGCCGTCTACTTCCAGTGGTTCGTCGCCCACCGCTACGCCGCCAAGACCACCAGCATGGGCGCCACCGATTCAAAATCCCGTAAGCAGCAGATTGAGGACTGGTCCAACGATATCTACCGCCCCGCCCCGCGCTTCGCCGACCCCGTCGTCCCTGACCACCGGCCCAGTAAGCGCGCCAGCTTCCTCCCCACCACCTCCCGCTTCTCCAGCCCCTACGTCGTCAGCCACGGTGGCAAGCAACGACCCCAGCATATCACAATGGCCAGCCAAAACTCCGCCTCGCGCCTCCTTCCCAGCACCTCCGCTTCCGCCTCCATGTACCGCCTTGGCCACAACAGCAGTGGTGGCACAATGAGTGCCGACCAGCCATCGCGCAGCATCCCTGGTAGCGGCGGTAACAACCACAATAACAACCTCACCGGCAGTCGCTCGAGCCTGTTACCCACCTCTCAGCACGTTACCTCCACGGATCGCTACTCCACCGCCCTCTCCGACGCCGAAGGGCCTGGCCCTGCGGGTTTCATCCATGAGGCCGTCGTCCCGCAACCCCCCGTCGAGTGGCAGCCATTTGGATTTCCCCTGGCCCACGCCATCTGTATGGTGACCTGTTACTCGGAGGGTGAAGAAGGCATTCGTACCACGCTGGACTCCGTCGCGCTCACTGACTACCCCAACAGCCACAAGACCATCATTGTCATCTGCGACGGCATCATCAAGGGTAAAGGTGAACAGTTCTCAACGCCCGAGATTGTGTTGGGTATGATGCGCGACCATGTGGTGGCGCCCGAGGAGGTCCAGGCCTTCTCGTACGTCGCCGTGGCATCGGGCTCCAAGCGGCACAACATGGCCAAGGTCTACTGCGGCTTCTACGATTACGGCGAGACCTCCCCGGTACCCCCGGAGAAGCAGCAGCGCGTGCCCATGATGATCATCGTCAAGTGCGGCACTCCCGAGGAGGCCGCAACCGCCCCCAAGCCGGGAAATCGCGGCAAGCGCGACAGCCAGATCGTGCTCATGTCCTTCCTGCAAAAGGTCATGTTCGACGAGCGTATGACCGAACTCGAGTTTGAGATGTTCAACGGCCTGTGGAACATCACCGGCATCCCGCCGGATTTTTACGAGGTCATGCTCATGGTCGACGCCGACACCAAGGTCTTCCCGGACAGTCTGACGCACATGATCTCCGCCATGGTCAAGGACCCGGAGGTCATGGGCCTGTGTGGCGAGACCAAGATCGCCAACAAGACCGACAGCTGGGTCACCATGATCCAAGTGTTTGAGTACTACATCTCCCACCACCAACTCAAGTCGTTCGAGTCGCTCTTTGGCGGTGTCACCTGTCTCCCGGGTTGCTTCTCCATGTACCGCATCAAGGCGCCCAAGGGCGGCCAGAACTACTGGGTGCCCATCCTGGCCAACCCGGACATCGTCGAGCACTACTCGGAGAACGTGGTGGACACGCTGCACAAGAAAAACCTGCTCCTACTCGGCGAGGATCGATATCTGACCACCCTGATGCTCCGGACCTTCCCCAAGCGTAAACAGATCTTCGTCCCGCAGGCGGTCTGCAAGACCATCGCCCCGGACAAGCTCAAGGTCCTCATGTCGCAGCGTCGCCGCTGGATCAACAGTACCGTCCACAACCTCTTCGAGCTGGTCCTGGTCCGCGACCTGTGCGGGACCTTCTGCTTCAGCATGCAGTTTGTCATCTTCGTCGAGCTCGTCGGCACTCTCGTCCTCCCCGCCGCCATCTCCTTCACCATTTATGTCGTCGTCAAGTCCATCATCTCCAGACCCGTCCAGATCTTGCCCCTCGTCCTCCTCTCTCTCATCCTCGGTCTGCCGGGACTGCTGATTGTCGTCACCGCCCACCGGCTCGTCTACGTCATGTGGATGTTCATCTACCTCCTCTCCCTGCCCGTCTGGAACTTCCTCCTGCCCGTCTACTCCTTTTGGAAATTCGATGACTTTAGTTGGGGTGACACCCGCCAGACCGCTGGTGAGAAGGACAAGGGTCACGACACCGTCGATGGCGAGTTTGACAGCAGCAAGATCACCATGAAGCGCTGGCGGGATTTTGAAAAGGGTATTTCTTCAACCTTTCTTGTATATTTTCCTTTCTTTGATCACTCGCTGACTTCTTCATAGATCGCCGTTTACGCAATGCTGCCAGTTGGTCACAACCGCCCACAACCGCCCATCACTCCCAATATGAACCCTATTCAGACTATTAAAACTAATTGGCCACTCTTGGCCGTGTAAACTTTGGACTGTCTTCTTCTTCCTCTTCTCATTTTTTTTTTTTTCTCTTTTTCTCCGGTTGTACACAGCGTTGCATCTTTGCAGTGAGCGTCTGTACATTTTTATCCTGACTGTGTCTTATACTCTTGAAGTTTTCGACTGTAATTTCGACTGTCTGGTCTATTGACAGGGTCAATTGGTTGATTGTACAGCTAACCCAGTTGATTTTTCATTGCATAATACCTGGTTATCAGATGCATGCTATTGATGATTTATTATATTTGGAGCAATAATGGAACCCTGCATCGACGCATTGAACCAGTCAATGCATTAAATTCTATCTTTTGAGTAGACCTCCAGTTGTTCTTCTCTGTCTTCTCTGACTTTGACCTATTTCCTCTCCTTCTGGTATCAGGTACTTCGTACGTATGACAGTTTCAGCCTTATGTTTCAGGCACTAAGTCATGTGACACTTGTCTCTGCCTTAGTGCCTCAGGCTTATAACTCTTGGCAAGTCACATGAGCAGGGCCCAATGTGCCTTCTCAGCCTCAGTTTTCAGGCCGAAATGTCACTTGATCGCGATAGCAGCGTCACTTTCCCCAAGTTCCCCCCCCCCCCCCCTCCTCTGCATCAGCAGACGAAAAGGATAGACAGGGAGGAGCAGCGGTCTGGGATCCGGTAGGTTTATCTATTTATTGTCCCTTTTTTCAATATCATTGATATCTTTTTTCTCTTTCCTTTACCATTCTCTTGCTGTCTACGGTCTACTGTTGTCTACTGCTGTCTGCATTTATTGACTTGACAGCGTCTGTAGAAACTCTGCCCCACCATCACGACATCTCCCACTTGGGACGTCTGACGACCTCCTCGCCTTCCCACTCTATCCCCGGCACCGAGTCTCTACGATCAAAGGGGAATGCCTCGACCATGCTCATATCGTCTCGCCCACCGGAGCTGACTCTCGCCCACCACCGTCTCGACTTGGGCAGCCTCGCGAGATCCGGCAGGCTGTGCTAGAAGAAGAAAAAAAAGAAAAGAAAAAAGAAAACATTGCTTTTTCCGGATAGGGGGGCGTTCAGATTCTTCCTAGTACGGAGTCGACAGTACGGAGTTACAACCCTTTCTCGAGACGACGAAAGATCGTTTTGACTTGCACTGATCTACGGGGTACATTTCAATCCGGTCGGGGGGAAACCACGAGGCAATCGCTGCACCGACGCAGGGATGTCGACGCCAGCGCCAGCTGATTGGTCTTCGTCTTCCTCACCCTCGTCTTCACGGATGAGAGAACGGGGACAGAGACCTCCCTCCCACACCCGGCCCTTGCCATGGGACTCCCAGGACTCCGATCTTTCGGCGTTGACCGCCGTCTCGCTCCATCCACGTGCCCTGCCGGAGAACAACGATGGACACCTTGGTGCAGACTTTGCCGTCTCGCAGATCGTTCACGCCGCCACCACCACCGTCTTTCCCCATGCATTCTCCGCACATACAGTCCCCGATCCTCTGTTGCTGTTGTCTTCGTCGCCGTCGTTGCCGCCGGGCGAAAGTCACCTGTCCGATTCGGAGATGACCGATATCATGGACGACGGAGGCGTCTCGCTGAGGCCATACATGAGTGACGGCGACGGCGACGGTCACGGCGATGGCGAGATGAACACCATCGCTCAGCAGCTGGTCCAGAGCAGGACAATCACCACTCCGCGCTTGGTGTCCTCCGTCCCGGCTGATGAGGACGAAACGACCCCGATGCGGGACACCGGGTCGCCTGCCTCGTCTGCCCAGACCGACAACGACGTTGACGATGATGATGATGATGATGATGATGATGATGATGATGATGATGATGGCATGCAACGGTTCTACGCGGATGAGGAACTCGCTGGCGGGAGCTATCCGTATAGATCCATGCCTGTGCTGTCAGATACCGACTTTGATGAGTTTCGTCGCCCTCTCAACCTTCAACCTGTACAGCCTGTGGCTCCCGGACCACTCGGTCCGCCGGTCCACGACGACGATGATTCCTTCTCCAACGGTGAGATCCCAAATCCTGCGAACATGACCCTAGAACCGCACAGTCCTGTTTCTGCCGTCTCTGGAATGAGTATGCTGCTTTGTCCTTGTTTTGATGAGGTTTTCTTCTTTTTCTTTTCTTCTTACTTACTATCTATTGCAGCTGACGAACGGAACTTGACCATCGATCAATTCATCAGCGAATGGCTCGTTCAATCATCCAACCCGTCTCTTGGCGACTTCCTACCCGTGCGCCAACCACTCTCCATGCATCCTATCTCGGGAATCCTAAGTTGGATGCCCCCGTCCAAGGTCGTGCGGCCACCACGGTACACGAAAAGTTCCTTCGACCTCCAGCAGATTCCGTGGTGGGATACTTTACGCGTCCGCCGGTCTGACGCTCGACAGCTACGTGATCTGTGGTATATCCCGTATACCAACCTAAACTACTCGCCTAGGGTGGGCACTCTTTTCTTTTTTTCCTTTTTTTCTTATTTCTATATTATTATTCTTTTTTTTTTTTTTTTTTTTGGTCTAACATTAAAAGTATGCCAGGATCATCCCCGCCCGGGAAACATACTTTTGTGAGAAATCCATGTACACCAAGCACAAGGCGACGGTGGTGCATTTTCAACTGCGTAACCTCATGTCCGTCACTTCGTACGACACGGTTGAGTTCTCGCGCGAGTCTCGGCTGTACGCGTGGCACCCTGCATACGACGAGCTGCAGTGCCTGATCGACCTATCGCGGCCCGGGCCCGAGACGGGCTTCCAGCAGCGAGTCAAGATCTCCAGCATGTGCTCGCGGCACGAGATCTCGGTCGCGGGCGGGTTCTGCGGGGAGTACGCCCTGCGGGCGGCGGGGACGGAGGATGATGCGACGGCCGTGACGACGGGGTTTGTGACGCAGAACCCCAACGGGATCACCAACCACATCGACCTGGTGCGGCACCGGACGGCTGGCACGCCCGTGGTGGTGTTTGCGTCGAACGACAAACACCTGCGGCTGCTGGACTGCGAGACCAACACCTTCCTGGCGGACCAGAGCTTGCCCTGGGCGGTCAACTGCACGGCGACGTCGAGCGACGGGCGGCTGCGGGTGGCCATCGGGGACTCGCCCGACGCGTGGGTGATCGAGGCGGACTCGGGGCGGGCGGTGCAGACGCTGCACGGCCACCGCGACTTTGGGTTTGCGTGCGCGTGGTCGCCGGATCTCCGGCACATCGCGACCAGCAACCAGGACAAGACGGTGATCATCTGGGACACGCGCATGTGGCGCGCCCTGGAGACGCTCGAGTCCGACGTCGCGGGGTACCGCTCGCTGCGCTTCTCGCCCGTCGGCGGCGGCCCGCGCACGCTGCTGCTGTGCGAACCCGCGGACCGCGTGGCGGTGGTATGCGCCCAGACCTTCCGTTCGCGCCAGGTGCACGACTTCTTCGGCGAGATCGGCGGCGGCGACTACAGCCCGGACGGCGGCTGCATCTGGGTCGCCAACACCGACCGCCACTTTGGCGGCTTTATGCAGTTCGACCGCCGCCAGTGGGGGCAGCGCTACGGACCTGGCGGCCTGCCTGTCGAATGGCGCCCCGAGGCTTTGTTGGATGCCGATCCCCGCTGTGTGCTGAGCGCGCGCGAGCGACACCTGCGCTTCACCTGGTCGAGGGACGATGAGCCGGACGATCTGTTGTTGTAATATCTCTTCTCAATTGTACTATCTCCGTAGTATTTATTACTATACTTTTGTACACTGGACGGACACTACCTAGTACCTACTGTATACTCCGTATGTAGATGTGGCGTGCGGCTGAACGTGGCTGTGCAGGAGGGGCCTTCCCGATCTAGACTAGCGTTACCCCTCACTATTTATTTACCTCATCTACCTCGATCTCTTCTCATCACTTTCATCACATCCATCTACTTCTCTCCCCACTACTATCTGCCAATATGTCTTACAACGGTTATAATGGCGGCGGCGCCAGCGCCAGCTACTACGACAACAACAACGACTTCTCCGACGAGCTGCGCGGAGCCGCCCAGCACGCCGAACGCGGCCACTCGGCGCCCGACTCCTCGTCTCTCTTCGGCGAAGCGGTCTCCTTCATCCAAGGCCGAGCAAGCGAATACATGTCCGGTGGTGGTGGTGGTGGTTCCTCCGGCCCCGCGGTGGACGAGAACCAGATGGTCCAGGCACACCAGGCTGTGTACGGACAGGGGTCGCAGGGCGGAGGCCAACAGCATAGCTCTGAGACACTTGGTGCCGGGGCGGCAATGCAGGCGCTTAAGATGTTTGGATCGGGCTCGTCTGGTTCGTCGGGGAGTATGAATGAGTTTATCGGCATGGCGATGTCGCAGGCGGGGAATCTCTGGGATCAGCATTCCGCGTCGGGGAGTGTGGTAAGCTCAATATATGCAATCTCTTCTCTCCCTCTGTTTTCTCTCTCTTTCTCTTCTCTTCATGCTAATTGGATGTTAGGCCGGCTCGAAGCAGTCGGCGATCAACTCTGCGGCTGAGATGGCGATGAAGATGTACATGAAGAGCGGGGGTAGTGGGCTGGGAGGAACGGGTGGACCGGCTGGCCTGATGAGTCTGGCGAGCAAGTTTCTGTAGATATCCTATCCATTATACATTATGAATATATATATATGTGTGCGTGAATGGCATTGAGGTGTAGTGGATTTAGATATTGTTTTATTCAGAAAGACTTGTATCTCTATCTATTTGTTAGATGTTGAGTGCAAAAAAGGAAGAGAGAAAAAAAAACGTCCCCGGGAAGGCTCGAACTTCCAACCTCTCGATGGACTGCATAACAGTCGAACGCGCTAACCTATTGCGCCACGGAGACGTTGTTGAAGAGTGAGAACTTTTAGAAAATATAAAGCAAATATGTTACTTTGTAGATTGAAGTCTTTTGTACCAGTAGTTGGCCTGTCTATTATAATATATTTTATCTATGGTTTAATAGCAAGGTAGTATGATTAGTATTAGTGTCTATTAGTGTCTATCAATGTCTATACCATCTGCTGATTCTTACCCTGGCCTGTCTTGATATCGCCTACTCTTTCTGTTATATATAAGTAGCAACCCACCGTTACATGCAATGGCAACGTTTCTAGAAACAAAGCAAAACCAGGCTGGAGGACTGAAACTCCAACTGGTTCTCACCTCCACTCTCTAGACACCCTTGTTGTCCGTCAACCGAAGAAATGTCTGACAACCAAGGAGACGAGAGAGCTGCTGGC